CAGCCAAACCCAGCTGCGCCTCGTTTATGTAACTCTCAAGCTAAGAGTGATTTACACGTTAAATGTTTTTTGTCTTTCTTTTTTTTGCTTTGTTCCTTTTTTCTGATTTTCAAAAAAGATTTTATTTGTTTATTTATAGAGAGGGGAAGAGAAGGAGAGGAGAGAAACATCAGTGAGTGGTTGCCTCTTATGCACCCCACACTGGGGACCTGGCCTGCAACCAGGGCACCTGCCCTGACTGGGGATCATACTGGCGACCCTTTGGTTTGAAGGCCCACACTCAATCCACTGAGCCACACCAGCCAGGGCTCTAATTTTTCTTAATCCTCATCAGAGGACATGCTTATTGATTTCAGAGAGAAGGGAGAGGAGGGAGAGAGAAGCATCTATGTGAGAAATAGTGATCAGTTGCCTCTAGCACGTGCCCCAACTGGGGACCAAAACCACAATCTAGACTTTGCCCTGACCAGAAAGCAAACCGACCTGGCAAGTGGGACGACGTGCCACCCAACTGAGCCACACTGGCCAGGGCAATTTTCACATTTTTAAAGAGAATTTTGAAAAAAGTAACCGATACTATATGAGGCTCACATAGCCTAAAATATTTAACACTCTACCTGGCTATTTGCAGAAAAGCTGGTCAGCCCTTTTCTGTGTGTTGTTGACCTTTGGGGTAGAAAGGACCTTCATATTTTTGAGAGCCACTTACCTTTCTGAACAGCTGATAAAAGCTGTGGATTCTTTCTCAGAATCATGTTTAAATATATGTACAATTATGCTTGTAATTTCAAGACATTAGGGGCTAATTCTGTTTCTCAAAACAAAAAAAATAGGAGAATCTACCCTGGCTGGTGTGGCTCAGTGGACTGAGTGTCGGCCTGCGAACCAAAGGGTCACTGGTTCAATTCCCAGTCAGGGGACATGCCTGGGTTGCGGGCCAGGTCCCCAGTGTGGGGTACGTGAGAGGCAACCACACGCTGATGTTTCTCTCCCTCTCCTTCTCCCTCCCTTCCCCTCTTTAAAAAGAAATAATATCTTAAAAAAATTTTTTTTTCTATCTGCTCAGGCCCTCTTCCTAGACATCCTGGTTTAATAGGGCCAAGAGGGTCTGGTAGTTAGTATTCTCCAGGTGAAATAGTCCTCCAGGTGATTATTTATTTCGTCTCCATTGAGAATTATTCTTCATGATATTTGAAGACCCAGAAGTTTTTCCCAGCTCAGGATTACTGTGAAACTGCTACTGCAGAATGCCTCCCATCCTTGCTATGGCCAGTGGCAGTCCTGGTACTAGAGGTGATGTGTGGGGTTTGGAAGGACAGCAGATTAGGATCGTGTGGGACCCGTCCTGACCCCATTATGCCTCTCTGCAGGAAGCTGGAGCTGCCACTTGTGTCTGGACCTGCTGAAGGAGAAAGCCTCCATCTACCAGAACCAGAACTCCTCTTGATGTGGCCACTCCCCCTGTCCCCCGCCCCCACCCCCATACATCTAGGGCTGTTTTCTCCTCTCTTGTTTCTCATGCCCACCTTTTCCTTCCCCCTCTCTTTCACAAGTCCAGAGAGCCGGGGGTGGTTGTGCCAACCTGCCTCTGGCAACAGCAAACTGAGGTGGCGGCTCTGCCTGCCTCCGGCCCTCAGGGAGAACGGAGCAGTGTGCTGCCCCGAGGCGCACCTGGGGGCCCGGCTTCCCACGGCTCTCCTTGTGCATTCACTCTGCCTGCCTTGGGCCCCGGCCCTGGTGATCACAGGGTTCAGACACTGTCCACTGAGAACGAGTGGGGGAACAGCTCACTTCTCTCTGAGCTTTGCCTCCACTCTGGTCCCCAGGGTTCTCTGTTCCCCCAGAGGCGAGCCAGGCCAGGCTCTACGAGAAGTAGCTGGGAGCGAGCAACTGAGCGAACTGAGGATGCGCTTGCAAGGAGCTTTCCGTGCCCTTCCTGCTGCTTAGCCTCACCGCCTCCTTCCCCCAGGGTGGCTCTCTGTGGCCCTCTGTCCCTGCTACCCAGGATCCTTTGCCTGAGCCAGGATGCTCTTGGTCACCCTCTGGGCCCTGCCCTGTCCCGCCCCGGAGGGAGGAGCAGCTTCACCCCGATTCTCCTTGTGCTCACCTGGCTCGCTCACGGGCGGTCTCCAGTGACTGCAGCGTTCCTCACCCTCGGGATTTCCCGTCTTCTGCCTCCCTTCCTTGTTCCCTTTGGTTTTGTGGGGAGAGGGAAAGCATCAGGGGGCCAGGCCAGCCGCTTGGGGGGGTTACAGGGAGATGTCGGACAATGTGCCTGTTTTTTAACTCGATGAAAAAGCCTACCTCCAAAATCCCGTTTTTGTTCTTCCTAGACCTGGGTATTCAGCTCCTGCCCTTAACTGAACTGGGAGCCTCTGCCTCCTGCTCTCTGTATCCTGGCTCCGGGTTCGTGGGGAAACCACACAGACCCCCTTTCTTCCCTTGCACGCTCACTAGCAGCTGGTAAGGTCTTCACTCCCTGATTCCTCAGTTTTCTGCCTGGTGACACTTTAAGTAGTGGGAGGGACACTCCATGCCAGGACACCCTGGAGTGGCCTTCCCATTGGCCTTGGGCAGGCCCTAATTCACTGTCGCTTTGGAGTTGTGTCTTTTCTTTCTTTCTTTGTTTCCTGTATTCTAAACATTAGTACAAATAAACGTTTTTACACAGAGCCATTTGCTGGGTGATTTATCTTCTGACTCCCTTTCCTGGTTACGAAGGCCACTTCATTCTAAAACTTCCTTACAGCAGTTTTTAAATGTTGTAAAACACAGCTTTCTCTCCCAAATTGAAATTCTTGCTGATCCCCAATCTGTAAAGCAGGTTATAACAGTTCCTTGATATAAAGAACAATGAAGTTTTAATTAATACAAAATTTAAAATCTACTTTAGCATCCTTTTTATTTCTGTATTTTGGTTGCTTTGGAGGAAATTCAGCTAAACATATATAATAGTTGACCTTGGAATTTGAGATATTTAAAATGGGCCCAGAAGCGTATTAACGTCAATATCAAAGAGAATGACACAGGAAAACTAGTGACACCACAGTGGGACACATGAACATTTTTTGTATGAGTAAATGAGCATGGGGAGCAGAGGCACCTCAACTGTGCCTGCCTGGCGTCTTCGTTTTCAGCGCAGTGTGCGTGAACTTGGCCCACAGCGCAGGGCTGCAGCCTGCCTTTGGGCCTGGCTATGTGCGCAGAAATGAGCTTGCTTTCCCTGCAGCCAACACCGACAGCTTCCACAGTGGATCTTAATGTATCCCACATGAGTGTGTGTTTTGAAGTTAAAATTTTTTAAAAATATTTTAAATCAGTCAGGTATGAATCCTCAAAGTATCTTTAGGCTTTTCTGGAACAGACTTGAAAGCCACTGTTATATAATGGAAGGCAGCGTCCCGGGCCATCACCTTCTGTAAGCAACACGGGAGTTGGCTCTGGGTTGGGAACTGTCTTAGGAAGAGAACGCAGCCTCGGTCCTCATGCTTTCATGCGGAAGTAGGACAGGAGTGGAGGGAGCAAAGCAGTGATCTTGTGTGGTTGAGTAGTCTAAGGGCCAGAAAAGAAATGTAAAAATGAGATTATTATAGCAGGCGTAAATGGGAAACTTGGAAAGGGTTTGCAGGAGGTGGGATTTAGGATGGAACGCAGAAGGCCAATGGGTGCGGGACTCAGTTAGCAGGGGAGCCTATGGGAAAGGCAGAGAGCTGGGGACTCGGATCCTTAGTCAGGTCTTCCAGTCGGAGCTGCGAGGCGATGAATGAGGCGAGGCGGGAAAGCAGGTGAAATTGGGGGCAGGGAGCCGTGGACCCCGGGCTAAGATGTTTGCATGTGATTGCACAGAATAGAACTGGAGGTTACTAAGGAAGGAAGTGATTATTGCATCTTGGGTTTAGAAATGAATCTTGCCAAGGGATATCAAAATTGTAACAGTGATTGAAGTAAACATAATGTACTAATCACATGGTAATTACAGAATAGGCTGTACTAACAAACTCATAGAAGTTTGGTGATTCATGATTGAAGCTTTCCTTGTAAGTATTTTATAGACATCAGCAGCTGCAGCTTCTGGTTAACCAAGAAATGGCCCTGACCACAAGGAATTGAGTGAGCATCAACGACTCGTAACAGAACCAGAAGAAATGCTGTCTGCACGTCCTGCTCCCTGATACCAGCAGTGAAACAGCAAATGATTACACAGGCAGAAGGTAACATTGAAACCACCCAAGAGTAGAGCTGAGAAACTGCACGTCGCCAGAAATTCCTTAGTTTCCCTGTTCTCATGGGTGTCCTATGCAAACTAGGCAGGATGCATGAGATGCTGAGATGGGCTTCAAGACGAGAGTTCCTCATCTTCCAGGCTGCCAGCACCTGAATAAACCACTTTCCTTTACACCAGCACCTGCCTCTCCGGTATTGGTTTTGTAAGCCAAACCTGCATTCTGTTACAAAACTAGTAAAAATTAGTCCTTACTCACCCTTACTCAGAACTGGCCCCAGCTTTTCCATAGCCAGGTTGCGAGCAGAGGCCAGCGCTGTCCATGGTAACGGCTTTTGTGTAGCGTAACTGCTTGCTTCCATTTTCTCAAAATCACTTCGTGAGGGGCATTAACCCTATTTGGTAAATGGGGAAGCTGAGGCCAGAAGGATCTTGGGACACCAAATCTGCTCTCTGGCTCCCACGCTGCCCCGCTGCCCCGCTGCCCCGCTGCCCCGCTGCCCCGAGGCTCGTGAGGCCCCCTGCCGGCCGGGTCCCCAAGTGCTAGGGGCGCCGCTCAGGCTCAGACTCAGACTCTGACCAGGTTCTGGGTCTCACGACGCTCCCATTGCTGGAAGCCCCGCCTCCCAGGGGGCTTGACGAACCGCCGCTTCTGCAATGTCCAATAAGACTTAGGTGGGGGCGGGACCTATCTTCTGAGGGCCAATATGATTGGGTGGAAGCCCAGCGGCTGCACCTTGGGTTCCCAGCCTGGAGAGAGCCCGGAGCGGGAGGCGAGCTTGGTGTCCTGCTGTGCGCGTACCCGCCGCCCGCCACCGCCGTCAGCGCAGCTCCTCGGCCGCTCTGCCCTCCGGGTTCTGGCGCCGTCCCTCCCCTACTCTCCTGTAGCCGCCCGGACCGGGACTTGGGAGGCGGGCCAAGGCTGGGCGGGAGCTGCGGGACGAGCGCCTGAGGTGGGTGCGGAGCAGGAGGCCTCAAGGCGGGGAGGCCCGGCGGGGAGCTCCCAGGTCCACCCCAAGGACGGACCCCGCATCTAGGGGAGCAGAGGCCCACCAGGTTGCGGAGCCCGGCCCCCGGCCCCCCTGGGTCCCGGGTGCTCTTGCCTGCACCCTGATACCCGTCCCAGGCCACCACCACCTTACCTGCTAGAGACACCCTGCCCCTCATGCTACCCATGGCCTCCTTACCCCTCTTGTCCTCTGTCGCGTGTGTACCTGCCGTCTAGGCCTTGTGCTCCCATTTACTCTCCAGACCTGACCCCCGCCCCACTTCGCCTCCTGGGGACCCAGCACCAAATTAGATTCACTCCTTCAGCGCCATCCATCCCTCTTTGTTGTCCGGACACCTGTCACCTCGACTCTGTTCCCCCACCCCACCACCCCATCTCCTAAGAGCTTCGTCTAAACCCAGCCCAGGTCCTCATCCCGCTTCTCCTCCCCCAGCCCCCATTACCCCTAGCCAGCGCCGCTCAGTCCCAACCTCATGTCCTCCCCCATCTAAACGCTTTTGCTGTCCATGCAGCTGTCCCCTCGGCCCTATTTATACTCTGCCCCAACTATGCCAAAGCCCTGCCCAGACTCCCCTCTCCTTCTGACCAGGGAGCCACCTCCCCCCCAGCTCTGTTCTGGCATTCCTCCCCACCGGTCTAGCCGTTTCCCTTCCTCTTTCAGCACAGCCCTCTCACCCTGCCCCGGGTGATCCGGTGCCCCTTGGTCCCTCCCGCCTGCCAGCCGATTTCCCCTTCCTCAGAGATTCTCTTCCTCACAATGCTCCTGTCCTGTGCCACCTGGCCTCAGCGGTCTGAACCCTTGTCACTGGTTCCTCCCGCCCAGGTGCCCTGGAGAAGCCATGGAGCTCAGCGGCAAGAAGAAGCTTCACGCTCTGTCCCTGGCTGAGAAGATCCAGGTGCTGGAACTCCTGGATGAGTCCAAGATGTCCCAGTCAGAGGTGGCCCGGCGCTTCCAGGTGTCCCAGCCGCAGATCTCCCGCATCTGCAAGAACAAGGAGAAGCTGCTGGCCGACTGGTGCAGTGGCACCGCCAACCGCGAGCGCAAGCGCAAGCGCGAGTCCAAGTACAGCGGCATCGACGAGGCCCTGCTTTGCTGGTACCGCATCGCCCGGGCCAAGGCGTGGGACGTGACGGGGCCCGTGCTGCTCCACAAAGCCAAGGAGCTGGCCGACATCTTGGGCCAGGATTTCGTGCCCAGCATCGGCTGGCTGGTCCGCTGGAAACGCCGAAACAATGTGGGCTTCGGGGCCCGCCATGTACTAGCACCCCCGTTTCCCCCTGAGCCGCCTCCCCCGGGCCTCGCGTCCCAGACCAGCCAGCCGCCTCTCGCCCTGAAGGACTTCTCCCCGGAGGATGTGTTTGGCTGTGCCGAAGTGCCCTTGCTGTATCGAGCGGTGCCCGGCAGAGCAGGTGCGGGTGACCAGGTGCACGTGCTGCTGTGTGCCAACAGCAGGGGCACAGAGAAGCGGCGGGTACTGGTCAGCGGGCTCCAGGCTGCACCCAGGTGCTTCCTCGGGGTCAGCAGTGAGGCTCTGCCTGCCTCCTACCACCCCGACGTGGGCATCCCCTGGTCAGAGTGGTTGGCGCAGTTTGACCGGGACATGGGGAGGCAGGGCCGACGGGTCGCCTTGCTGCTGGCTGCCCAAGTGGTGGAGGAGTTGGCAGGCCTGCCCGGGCTCTGCCACGTGAGGCTCCTGCCTCTTTCCACCACCAGCACCACACCTTCTCTGCCCAGCTCTGTGATCCGGGCCTTTAAAGCCCATTACCGGCGCCGTCTGTTGGGCAAGCTGGCGGCTGTCCGGAGCAAGAGGGCCGGCACGTCGCTGGCCGAGGCCGGGGCAGGCATCACAGTGCTGGACATGCTGCACATGGCGGCGGCCGCCTGGGCCAAGGTGCCTCCCCAGTTCATCGTAAGCAGCTTCCTTCAGGAAGGGCTGGCTCCCTGCAAAGTGCCCCTGTCCTCGGACAGAGCCTCGGAGATGCCGCCCGTCCCTGGTGGGCTGAGCTTGGAGGAATTTTCCCGCTTTGTGGATCTGGAGGGTGAGGAGCCCGCGTCTGGGGTGTGCAAAGAGGAGATGGGCACTGAAGACGAGGTGGGGACTGGGGAGGATGGCTGCGAGCCCCTGCCCACCAGAGCTGACGCCCTCCGGGCCCTGGGCACCCTGAGGAGGTGGTTCGAGTGCCATGGTGCCTCCCCTGAGCTATTTGAAAAATTCTATGCCTGTGAGGAGGAGGTTGAGCGGCTCTGCTGCCTGTGAAGGGCACCTGCTCCTCGCCAGAGCCCCCTCCTGTCCTGTTTCCCATGGAAACGCCCTGTCACAGAAGGCAGGCGGGAGGCTGGTCTCTTTCCGGTGGCAATGGGGCTTTTGTGAAATGTGTAGAGGGGAGACAAGTCGGGAGAACAGGTCTGAGCCCTGAACAAGAGTTACCCGAGCCAGGGAAGAGCATCTGAAGCGGAGCTAGGCTCCGTACTTTCTGGGCCTCCAGGGAGTCTGGGGCTTGCCTAGGTGAAATTTGGGCTTCACAGACAGTTTGATGCCTTGAACCCTGTGTTAAAAAACAGTTGTGCTTCTGAAAATAAAGTTTTTAATCAGAAAAGAGGCCAGGGTGTAATTTTCAGGGGAAAAGGGTGGGCACTTTCAACTCAGCTTTTTAACTTGGTTGCTGAGGGTTGCCACCGCACGGCGGTCTGGAGCTGTCTGCGGATGACCCCGGGGACCCTCCTCTTCCAGGATGCCAGCAGGAAGGACTCCCAGGGCTGGGGGACTCCTCCTCAGGTGAGGCCAGGACACCCTGCAGCTCTGCTAACTGAGCTCTCGGATTGCGGGAGGGGACGAGGGGTCAGTAGGAGGGGATGGGCTAGGGACTTACTGGGGAAACAGAAGAGAGCCAGAACTTGGAATAGTCGTTGGTTCTTTTTTTTTTGGTTGGTTGTTTTTTCTTTTCTTTTTTAAGATTTTATTTATTTTTATTTTTAGAGAGGGAAGAGGGACCGTGGCTGGCGTAGCTCAGTGGATTGAGCGCGGGCTGGGAACCAAAGTGTCCCAGGTTCGATTCCCAGCCAGGGTACATTCCTGGGTTGCAGGCCCTAACTCCCAGCAACTGCACATTGATGTTTCTCTCTCTCTCTCTCTCTATCTATCTCCCTCCCTTCCCTCTCTAAAAATAAATAAATAAAATCTTAAAAAAAAAAAAAAGAGAGGGAAGAGGGAGAGAGAGATAGAGAGAAACATCAATGTGCGGTTGTTGGGGGCCATGGCCTGCAACCTAGGCATGTGCCCTGACTGGGAATCGAACCTACGATGCCTGGTTCGCAGCCCACGCCCAATCCACTGAGCTACGCCAGCCAGGGCTGGTTTTGTTTTTTCTGTCATTCACTTGATCATTCCACAGCATCTCTTCGGCAAGGCCTGTGTGACAAAGTTGCGAAAATGATGTCCCCGCTGGGCAGGATCTTGCAGACAATGACAGTGGAGCGTGACTATGTGCAAAGTGCGATGGCCCTGTAGAGCCTAGGAGGCCTCCTGGAGGAGGTGAGTGTTGAGTTGCAGCTTGAAGGACAGACAGGGGTGGGAAGCATAGTCCAGGCCAAGGAGCAGAAGGTACCGAGTCAGGAATTCTCTCCAGAGCCAAGAGGAGGCCCCGGGAGCTGGAGGAGCCGTTAGCCCCCAGGTTTGGTGGTGAAGCACCCCGAAAGGTTTTAGCCAGACTCGAGAAGATCCAGGCGCTGGAACTCCCGGATGGGTCCAAGATGTCCCCGTCAGAGGTGGCCCGGCGCTGCCAGGCCTCCTGGCCCCAGATCTCACGCACCTTCTCCAGCTCCAGAACGACACGTCATCTGTGGGGTTCTAGAACACGGAGATGTGGAGTGCGGGTCAAAGATGTGAGACCCGGAGACAGAGAGACTCCGACTGGCTCAGAGGTGGTGAAGCCTGAGCTGGATCCTGGGGGTGCGATGGGTAGAGGATGGTGTTACCTGGAGGGATGTGGGCTTTGGGCAAACACAGACTCTGACTGGTGAGAATCCCAGCTCTAGGCCCAAATCCTGCGTGTTCGGGCTGACCACAGGCAACCACAAGCCCGAGCGTGCAGTTCCGTGGAGGCCGTAGCCGTCAAGGACGTAGGCCACCCACGGCAGCCCAGCGGCTGCCTGCGTTCAGAGCCCAGGTACCTCTTTCTGGGGGCCGCCACGCAAGCACTTCCTAGGTGCCTCTGCTGAGACGCTCTCTCCACTCTGATGCAGCACCTTCTATTCCTAGCCCCTCTCACTCTCCCTTCCCTAGTCCACCGCCCATCAAGAGGCAGGAGCCTTTCATTCAGGGGGTTCCTGACGGTGAGACAGTCCCTGGTCCGCCTGTCATCCGACCTCCGCCGGTGCTGGTCCACTGGGGAACGTGGAGCCCTGGGGAGGTGGTGACTCTGTCTGGTGCTCGCACTGTCACAGTAAGGGAATGAGGGCTGTGTGACTCGTCCTAACTGACCACCTCAACATCCGGCCGCTGGACAATGACGATGACTCACTTTTAAACAGCCCTGAAGCCACCGGCTGGCCTGCCTTTTCTAGCCTAAGATCCTGAATCATTGCACCTTTCCTCACAGATTCTGTTTTTCCTAGCCTGCAGTCATTTAAATTGTCCTTTTCCTGCAATCATCCTGGTTCTGACATTTCTTCTTAAATGGGGAAACCAAAATTATATCATCTCCCAAGGCCCGGCCAAAGTAACAGAGGGGGCAGGCACGCAAGATGGCAGCGGGTGGACCCTGAACACGCAAACAGCAGCTGGCAGACCCTGGCCGAGGGGTGGCAGCCGGCAGACCCTGCGAGTTGGCGATTGTGAAGGAAGGTACTGCACGCAACCCAGGATCCCAGCGCTGGGAAACGGAGCCTCGGGGCACTGATTGAAAACACCTGTGGGGAGTTAAGGTGCAGGGAGAGACTCCCAGCCTCACAGGAGAAATGGTTGGAAAGTCCCACGGGGTGCACAAGCCCACCCACACGGGAATTGGCACCAGAGGGGCCTAGTTTGCTCAGGGGAACCGGCGGAAGGGACTGAGGTCCCACGGAGAATGGAGCAAGCGCCATTGTTCTCTCTCAGACCCCACCCCCATGTACAATGTCACAACCCAGTGACTGGGGTGCCCCGCCCTGGTGAACACCTAAGGCTCCAACCCCCATACGTAATAGGAGCAACCAGACCAAAGGGGGGGGGGGAGATGGCTCAAACAGAATTGAAAGCCCCAGAGCCAGTACTTTTAAGCAACCAAGAGATAGCCAACCTATCAGATGCACAGTTCAAAGCACTGGTGATCAGGATGCTCACAGAATTGGTTGATTTTGGTCGCAAATTAGATGAAAATTAAGGCTACAATAAGTGAAATGAAGAAAAATGCACAGGGAACCAATAGTGATGGAATGAAAGCTGGGTCTCACATCAATGGAGTGGACCAGAAGGAAGAAAAAAAAACATACAATCACAAAAGAATAAAGAAATAAGAATTCAAAAAATGAGGAGAGGCTTAGGAATCTCCAGGACATCTTTAAATGTTCCAACATCTGAATTATAGGGGTACCAGAAGCAGAAGAGGAAGAGCAGCAAGTGGAAAACTTATTTGAACAAATAATAAAGGAGAACCTCCCCATTCTGGCAAAGGAAATAGACTTCCAGGAAGTCCAGGAAGCTCAGAGAGTCCCAAAGAAGTTGGGCCCAAGAAGAAACACACCAAGACACATCATAATGACATTAGCCAAGGTAAAAATGAAGGGGAGAATCCTAGAAGCAGCAAGAGACAAGGAGACAGTCACCTACAAAGGAGTGCCCATCAGACTGTCAGCTGATTTCTCAAAAGAGACCTTACAGGCAAGAAGGGGCTGGAAAGAAGTATTCCAAGTCATGAAAGGCAAGGACCTACATTCCAGATTGCTCTATCCAGCAAAACTTTCATTTAGAATGGAAGGGCAGATAAAGTGCTTCTCAGATAAGGTCACGTTAAAGGAGTTCGTCATCACCAAGCCCTTATTTTATGAAATGTTAAAGGGACTTATCTAAGAAAAAGAAGATAAAAAACATGTATAATAAAATGACAGGAAAATCACAATTATTAACAACTACACCTAAAACCAAAAGAAACTAAGCAAACAACTAGAACAGGAACAGAACCATAGAAATGGAGATCACATGGAGGGTTAGCAACAGGGGAGTGGGAGGAGGAGAGAGGGGGAAAAGGTACAGAGAATGAGTAGCATAGATGGTAGGTAGAAAACAGACAGGGGGAAGGCAAGAATAGTATGGGAAGTGTAGAAGCTAAGGAACTTATGACACATGGACATGAACTAAAGGGGGGAATGTGGGTGGGAGAGGGTGTGCAGGGCAGCAGGGAGTGAAGGGGGGTAATGGGACAACTGTAATAGCATAATCAATAAAATATATTTTAAAAAGTGGAACTCATCAAACAAGCAAAAAAAATAATTTTAGTTGCTGTGTGAAAAACATGGGAGCTGGGGAGCAAAAGCAGGAACCAGGAAACCAAGTTAGGGATCTATGGAGTGGGCGGGGCTTCCTCCTGGGTAGGCATAAGGTGTGATGGGGAGAGGAATTGAAGAGGACTATTCCCAGTGGATTAGTTCTTCTTCTTCTTCTTCTTTTTTTTTTTTAAATCAAGGCCAGGCAGTCCTACCAAATTTTACAGGCATTGCCACGTGCAAAGTAAGAGATGGCCAAAAAAATTTATTTACATTATTTCTGCTTCTTTACAAGCGTGTAGCGAACACCCACTGTGTTCAGAAGGCGGCCAAGGGTCCGAGGCAGCAAAGCTGAACAAGATACACTCCCTGTTTCTAGATGCGCATGAACCAGGGAGAAGTAGCCAGTGGCTGGCACTCCAGGTCAGTCGTGGGGATTAAAAAGATTGATTTGCACAGAGCGTTTTCTACTCGCCAGGCCCCATCTTCACCACTGCACAGATGGCGGATGGCGGCGTCGTCCTCAGTCTCGAGAAGATGACGGACTGGGCGCGGGAGCCCACAGGCGGGGAGATGGGTCCGCCCTCTCCCTGCGTCTCTGCATTGCACTCGGAGTGGTTTCTTCTCATCCACCTTCCACTTCTCTTCAGCTGTGGCAACCTTAGTTTTTTTTTCAAATATATATGATAATGTTTATACTGTCTTATTTCTCATCTTTTAATTCCTTTATGTATTTAAATATTTTTGCGTAGTTATTTTACATTCTGGATCTGATAACTCTAATATCTGAAATGCTTGGGGGGGTGCTTTTGTTTCTACTGATGCTTTAGCTTATGGTGGCATTTTTCCAGGTAGGTCTGGTAATTTTTGTTGTGGGATTTTTTTCTTTTTTAATTGGTTGCTCTTAATCTCTGGAAAACCTGAAGATTCTGATTTAGGGTGCTCTCCGTTAGCAAAAAAAAAAAAAAAAGTAGTTGCGCCCTGGCTGGCATAGCTCAGTGGATTGAGCGTGGGCTGTGAACCAAAGTGTCACAGTTTGATTCCCAGTCAGGGTACATGCCTGGGGTGCAGGCCACGCCCCCCAGCAACCACACATTGAAGTTTCTCTCTCTCTCTCTCTCTCTCTCTCTCTCTCTCTCTCTCTCTCTCCCCCCCTCTCTCTCTCTCCCCCTCCCTTCCCTCTCTAAAAATAAATAAATAAAATCTTTTAAAAAATGTAGTTGCTCCTACCAGGCACGAGGGGGCGCTAGCACCATGATAAATTAATTTCTGGGAGAAATGTGCCCAGGCTGGAAGGGTGGTATGGTGAGCAGGCATGTATGTGGTTGGCTCCTGGTTCACAGGAGAGCAGATCTTATTCTTAATTTCTTCCCACCTCAGGGAGAGAGGCAGATTTCTCTGTAGGTTCCCTTTACTGGTTGGGAGAGGTGTTCTGGTCTACGCTTTTACTAAAAATGCAGCCCCTTCCAGGATCTTGACAATGCACAAGACTCAGGTTCAGCCTGGACTCAAGGTCTACCTAGTCTTCTGGACTAGAAGTGGTTCTCTGATCTTCCAGGTCATGGTGTTAGAATTTGCTCTAAGGGAAGCTGTAGAGACAACCTGGTTACACTCACTGTCTCGTTTTGAAGGGGTCCTTAGGGAGTTCCCTTACTATTTGCAAAGTTAGAAATGGTTCTTAAATTACGTCTGTTGTGTTGGATCTGAGTCCAGTTGCTTGTTGATAGGAGGGCTCTTCATAAAGTCTAGAGCACCAGTCTGACAGAGGGGAAGTCGGGAAGACCAGTTTTCATTCATTCATTCATTCATTCACTTGTTCAAAACTTCATTGAGCGCCTCTGCATGCCAGCTAGAGTGTGACTGATGATGAGCAAAAAGAGTCACGGTCTCTGCTTCATGGAGCCTGTAGTGTAGAGGAGACGATTATCATCAAAGAGCCACCCAAACGAAAGTATGTAATTCCGCACCACAAGGGGGAGGACGTGCAAGCCCAAGCCGGTAGTTCTCAAACTGTGCCCCGCAGCATCCGGGACCTTAGTGAAGCGCTGGTGCTCAGGCCCTCCGCAAACCTACTGAATCTGCGGCTCAGGCGGGGCTCGGCAATCCGTAGTTTAACAAGCCTTCCGGGTGCATCCAAGCCGAAGGAACCGGAGCTAGACAGACAGAGGGGCTGCGGGAAGTTTCGCTGAGGAAGTGACACCGAGCTGAGGGCTGGAGGATGAGTGGGAAGTGCACGGGCAGGGAGGGCAACAGGTGCAAATGTCCTGTGGTGGGAGGGAAGGACATGCTTAAGGGACCAAGAGAAGGTGAATGTCCTGGGGCCTCGGAGGCTGCGGAAAGAGCTTGCCCTGATCCCTCAGAGTAAGGGGAAGCCATCAAAGGGGACAAGAGGAGTATGGTAACGTGATCAGAAATGCATTTGAAAAGTTATTTGTCCAAACTCAGGGCAGGACTGGGGCCGTCGTACAGGCACACCTTGCTGTATTGTGCTTCGTTGCACTTCGCAGGTGCTGCACTTTTCACAAACTGAGGGTGAGGCCCTCCACCAGCAAAAAGATTATGGCTCTCCGAAGGCTCAGATGATGGTCAGTGTTTTTTTAGCAAAAAGGCATTTTTTTTAGATTTTATTTTTATTTATTTATTTTCAGAGAAAGAGAGGGAGAGAAACATCAATGTGTGGGGGCCTCTTATGTGCCCCCAACTTGGGACCTGGCCCACAACCCAGGCATGTGCCCTGACTGGGAATCGAACCAGTGACCCTTTGGTTGCCAGGCTGGCGCTCAGGCTACTGAGCACACCAGCCAGGGCAAGAAGGTATTTTTAATTAAGTCACGTGCATTGGTTTTTTTAGGCACACGCTATTGTTGTGCACAGTAGACTACAGTATCACATAAACGGAACTGTTGTACGCACCGGGACACCAAAACGCTCATGGGACTCTCTTTGTTGTGACAGTTGCTGCATCGCAGTGGTCTGGAACCAAGGCTGCGGCGTCTCTGAGGTGTGCCCACGTTAGTCCTGGAAAGAAGGGAGTGGGTCCCAGCAAACTCCGGGAGCTGGTTCACAGGAACTGGAAACTCCTTTGAAGCAAGAGGAGGGGAGAGGGAAAGCCTCTTTGAGACTCCTGGGCAGGTGTCTTCGGGGTGCTCAAGACTCTGTGACCAGAGTCGTCAGCAGTGTGAGTCCGCAGCTCAGGGCAGTGGTGGGGCTGGAGACGCCACTTAAGAGTGACTTCTCTTAACGAAACTAAAGTCAGCCGTTCAGCGAGGCTGGCAGTAGTGATTTACGCCAGAGTCACCCCCCTGTGTCATTCCCCCTTCACCTGCATGCACAGCCTTAGTGTCATGACACACATAGGTTAGGCCCCTGTAATTTCTCCTCCTGTGACTGCTGCCGTGAAAATGGATGCATATGAAGTTGGACAATGCAAGTCCGATGAGAAACAACTGAACATGTTTGCCCGGCTTCGAAGCCCTTGACACGTGACCCTCGGACACCAGCCCCGCCTTCAACCTCAGAGCAGCTCATTGGCTGTTCCTTCGTTCTCAGAGATTCCTTCTGTCTAAACGGGTCTCGAGAGCAGCAATGACCTCTAATGACTCCTGTTCATTCCTGCAGGAACTTAACACGTGTATTGTGAGAGACTGCTGATGTAAAAACATCTGGCTTTTAAAAATATCTTCGGACCTGGCTGGTGTGGCTCAGTGGATTGAGTGCCGGCTTTCGAACCAAAAGGTCACCAGTTCGATTCCCAGTCAGAGCACATGCCTGGGTTGCCGGCCAGGGTCCCAGTGAGGGGGCGTGCAGGAGGCAACCAATCCATGTAACTCTCACAAACTGATGTTTCTCTCCCTCTCTTTCTCCCTCCCTTCCCCCTCTTACAAATAAATAAAATCTTTAGAAATATGTCTTCAGCCACGCCCTGGCCAGGGGGCTCCGTTGAGGCATCATCCGGGATTGACGTTTCTCTCTCACATGAATATTTCTCTCTCTCTCTCTCCCTCTAAAAAAACATCAGTAAACGTCAGTCATTTCCTGCCTGACTTTGTTTGTCTTTCCAGCCTCCTTTCCAACCTATTGCCCTGGGGCCTCCTGGGGCCTCCGACAGAGTGACCTGCTTTCTCACTGCTCAGCCATGCCTAAGCACCGCCCTGCAGCCGGGTGGGTGGGGGGACCCTGAGGCCCGCCAGGCTCCCTGGTTCTCATGCGAGCTGGGCGCAGGGGAGCTCCAGCCAGCACCCGCCTCCCAGGAGAACCAGAGAGAGAAAGCAGAAGCATGTGCCCAGACAGTGCAAAGGTGGGCTTACGGGTGAAATTAAATGAACTACCCCAAAAGGGATTTAATTTAAACAAAACCAAAAAAGGATTTTCATATTTTATTCCCTTGCTAACTGGTAATGGGTGACAGGTGGCAAACTGCCACCCAGGGAACAGCCCTGGCCCTGTCCCCTCTTGCGCGGGCTGTAAGAGCCACCTCCTGTTTCACACGCACGCTCTGGGCCCCCTCCCAGCCACAGGCTGCCCTGAGGTGTTCCTAGGACGGTCGTGTCCGGCCCCAAATTTCTGGTAGTGCGGGGGTGCTGGATGGCCACTGCGGCCCACAGGCTGACCTGTCGAAAGGGATCTCGGAGGAAACTGAGGCACACAAAGGACAGTGACTGGCTCGGGCCAGTTTGTTCATCCCAGGAGCAGGCCTCGCCCACTGGCCCTGGGAGTCCAGTCATTCCACCAGACCCAGACCCTCCTTACTCGATAGGGCAGCATGTCCTGCTGTTAGGAGCAGCCAGAGCACCGCTGTGTGTGCAGAAGTCGCGGGAGAGCTCTGCATGGCACAGCTCAGGGTGCTGGGCCGCGGCCTCGGACAGTCCGATTTCCTCGCCCCAGCGGTGCCTGGGACTCGCTGCTGACCAGCTCCAGGAGGCGCTGATAGCACTGCTCCACAGGCCACACTGGGGCCACCGTGACCACTCTGTGAGTCAGGGCGAGGGCCAACCTGTCTCAGCAAAGAGGCCTCAGAAAGCAGCGGTCGCCCAGGTTCTGGGCTGGTGGGGCACCCCCTGCACGCTCAGCAGTCCTGCCTGGTCACCATGGCAGCCAGCAGTGAGGGAGTTCCCTGACGGCGAGTGACGGGCAATGTGCCACATCACACATTTCTGCAGCAAGGCCCCAGGCGCAGGGCCCCACCGAGCTGCCGGGGCTGGCTCGCGGCCACGTGCCCTGGGGCCACGATGTGACGATGGGAGAGGGGAGAGCGAGGGGGGGCGCTGCCCACGATCCGGTGAAGGACAGCTCCAGAGCGTGGGTCAGGGCCGAGGCTGGCAGGCCTACCCGGGTGACTGTGAACTCAGGTGACTTGTGGGCGACTGTCACAGTCCCCAGGAGGAGCTGGGAGTTGGGGGCTCAGATGCATCCGGGCAGGCTGGCTGCCGTGGCAGCTGTGTGACCAGGGATGGGCCGAGGACTGTCTGAGCGGAGGCCACCTCCTCTGTCCACAGCGACTAGAATGCTGTGACTGGTCTCACAGGGAGCCCCAGGCATGGCGGGGACTCTGGGCGCGCAGGTCAGCAGGCGGCGGGCCCGGGTTGGTCTCAGACCGGGTCAGGACACTTAGTGGGTACAGCTTCTGCTCAGCTTTATTGTCAAATGGACCCTCTTAGCCAGTTTTTTTTTTTAAGATTTTATTTATTTTTAGAGAGAGGGGAAGGGAGGGAGAAAGAGAGAAAGAGAAACATCAATGTGTGGTTGCTGGGGGCCGTGGCCTGCAACCCAGGCATGTGCCCTGACTGGGAATCGAACTGGCGACCCTTTGATTCACAGGCTGGTGCTCAAATCCACTGAGCCACACAAGCCAGGGCCCTCTTAGGCAGTCTTGCATGCCCACTTTGCAACGGAGACAAGTAAATATGTGCCAGGCATGAGAGCGGGCCTGGCAGATACCCCCAGCTTCTGGTACCCCTCCAGTGGGAGTGATTCCAGGGTAGGCAAGCCTCCCAGTGAGGGGTTGGGGGCATTGGTGGGACAGGGACCCCACCCAGGAAGCAGGCGGGGTGGCTGGAGTCACGAGAGAGGCCGGGAATGCAACGCCACTCCCTTCAACGGGCATGTGCCGGGCTGCCGCGAGCGCCGGGGCTCTGAGCTGGGAAAGGAGCAGACGCGCGACCACCCGCCTCCGGGAGCTCGCAGGTTCATGAGAGTCCTCCAAGCACCACGACACAGGCGAGGGCCGTGACCGAGGTGCGTGGGCAGGTAGGTGAGCCAGCGCCCCATCGGGAGGGGGCGGAGTCTGGGCTTTTCCCTGAGCATGATGGGAGTCGCTGAAGGACTCCGAAGGCCAGGAGATGTAAAGGCCACTCTCGAGTCAGGCAGGGCGAGGTCAGACGGGGGTCGGGGGATCGTGGGCGGGGTGGGGGCGATGGGGGAGAGAGGCGGAGGCGGACGCTGCCCCGGGGACCCAGAGGGTCGTTAGCAGCCAGGCAGCGGAGTGGAGGAGTGGAGGCCGAGCTCTTGAAGGGCCGAAGTCACGGGACGGGGGGGCAGGACTGTCCCCAGCACCACTGGTGACTGGCTTTGCGAAGGAATCCCGGCAAGAGCTCCTGGAGGCTGAGGCCAGCCGCGGGTTCTGGGTGGGGCCCCCGGTGCTGTCTCCCCCGTCCGCATCCGCATCTCCTGGGCTGGGAGGCGCCTTGACAAGGAAGGTGGAGCCTCTTCCATGGAAATCTCAACCTGGGGCTTTCAACGTGGCCTTCAGTCCGGGCAGCTGGGTGGCGGGCGGTCAGTCCCACTGGGGGACTCGGCGCTGGGCGCTGGCCGCGCCCGGCCGGGCTCATCCCCACGAGCGGAGGAGGTACTCGTAGCTGAGGAAGGTGACGGCGTTGACAGGGAAGGCGCGGGCACTGTTGATGGTCAGCCCCCGGAAGAAGACCCCCAGCCCTTCCCGCCGGGCACTGGTCACCATGCAGTCCAGCAGCCCCCGGTACTCGCTCTGCTTCAGCCCATCCATCTGCATCCGGGACTTGATCACGTCCAAGGGGGTGGCTACCACCCAGGAGGCGATGCCTGCGAAGCCCCCGGCCACCAGCACGGTGGCTGAGCCTGGGGCAGAGGGAGTGGGGGCCGGGGTCAGACCGAGGGACGCCCTCCCCGTGCCCTCCACCCCCCCCGCTCCCCCCCACCCCCGCAGTCCCCTCTGCTCCCCGCCTCTCACCACTTCACTTACTGGGTGTCCGGCCGTCTGGCGTGAACTGGCGACAGAGCCACTCATAGGTGACGAAGTAGATCCCCACCGTGGGCGTGTCCCTCAGCGTCAGAGCCCAGGCGCCCCGGAACAGCCCGCGGGGCCCCTCCTCCCGGAAGATGGAGGCCGCGCAGTGCACGGGCCCCCGGTAGCGGGGCGGCCGGCTCCCGAGCTGTGCCCTCGGCTCTGTCTGGTTTTGCAGCCGCACTTTGATGAGGTCGCAAGGGGCCAAGCAGTAGGCCTGTGGGGAGGAAGGGTGCAGGCCCTGCGTGGGGCTCGGGCGGGGCAGCTTCTCTTAACAAGGGGGGCAGTGGGCGGGGCGGGCGGCATCCTCCCACAGGAGGTCGAGCTCCTGCTGCCAGCTCTGGGCCTCTCATACTCGAAGCTGGGGGTGGGCCAGGGCCCCCTCCTTGGCATCAGGTCCCTCGTGGGCGAGCGGCATGGCCCCCCTCAGCCTCACGGAGCCGCCCTCCCCCAACTCCTGCAGCATACCTCCCAGAGGCCCCCCGAGGGGGCGAGCTCCGGGCCAGCCCCTCACAAACCCCCAAACGCTAGTGTCCCAACAGAACGTGTCGGCAGGGGGAGATCTGCAGGTCCTAGAACCTATCGCCTGGCTGGGGCGGGCGGGACGCAGGTCTGGGGCAGAACTGGCACTGGGGGTGGGTGCTGGGGGGACACGGAGGGAGGCTGTGGGGAGGGGCTGAGGGATGGGTCGGGGAACCCGCTAGGTCAGGCTCCGAGTTCGGGTGAGAACCGAGGTCACAGCTGAGGCTAGCGGGCATTCGGGGGCTCGTGTGTGTGTGTGTGTGTGTGTGTGTGTGTGTGTAAGGGGCAGGGGCCCAGTCCCCCAGCCCTGGGGACGGCTGATGGCGGAGGAGCCGGTGGCCTGCTTGGGCAGCCTCCGTTGGAGGGAGGCAGGCCAAGTCTGCTGGCTTCTTGCCCTGCAGAGAGGTTGGTGGACTGGGGACCCTCCCCGTGAGATGGGGCCCTGGCGCCACCCCCGGAGCTGGCAGTGCCGCCTAACAGCCTCTCCCGGGGGGTGCGCTCCTGAGCCCTGGGCTCCGGGGGGGCTGAGGACATGGTGGGGCCCAAGTTGGGGTGGCCTGTGGGGGGTGCTGGCTAGGGGCCCGCCCCTCCCCACCCCACACCCACGGGGGCAGCGGGGGCAGCAGACACTGCTGCTCTGTTTGACGGGGTCAGCCTCAGCCAGCCGAGAGCGAGCTCCATGCACAGCAGCGGTGCCAGCCCCGGCCCCGCGCTAACCAAAGAGTCCCTTCCCTCCTCTCCCTCCCACCGCCATGCTAGAATGCAGTTTTTGCTCCAAGAGTGAAGTCACAGGCCTGACAGCAAACCTGGGCTCCCGCTGGTCCCACGACCCAGTCCCCACCCTGTCCCACCAGGCAGCACTGCTATCTACTCTACTTCCCAAAGGGCTGGGGAGCAGGCTGGAGGGCCGGGCCTGGCCAGCCCACACCGGGCCGCCTGGCCTGGGGCCCCAGCACTCCTCCTTGTTCTGGGGGCTGGAGGGGGGGCAGGTGCCAGTTCTCGGGGCATGCACCCTGCACAAGAAGAGGCAAAAGAAACACCAGGACCTTCTGAGGGCTCACGGGTTATTGATTTACTCTAGCGAGCCCGCTGGCTTTGGCCGCTGTCCTCGCTTTCCGACCTGTGAAGTGTGTCAAGAGCATCCAGGCAGGTGTCAAACAGAGGGTGACCTGAGGCGCCTGGCCGGGGTTCGGGGCCCAGCCTCTGTGTTCAGACCCCTGTTCAGTTGCGGCTCCTCTGGGTTCCTGAGACCCCTCTTCCCTCCCCGCACCCCCCCAAGAGTCCAGGTACTTAAGTACTGAGGACAGAGACCAAACCCGAATGACGAGAGTTACTTAATGATTAATGCCCTGGACTCCCCCAGTGAGACCTGTGGACTGGGGCGTACCAGGACCGCAGCAGGAGCTCCACACCGCGCTCAGAGCCCCACGGGGCTGTCAGCTGTCCAGGGTGTGAAAGGTCACCTCAGAGAGGTCTTCCCACAGCCCGGAGGTTGCCGGACCCCTCCGGAGGCGGGCAAGCCCTGTGCACCCTAGCGTGGGCCACTGGCTGCTTCTCCACGGTGTCCTACCGGCACCACCTCCCGCAGCCCTGCCCCCCCCCCCCAGCTCTCTCTGCTCTCCACGGCCTTGTGCCCATGGGCCCACGGCACGGAAGGCCGCCCTCGGCCAGGCCAGGTCATCGGGAGCAGCAGGAGCTGCCCACTTCCCCACAGCCCCTCAGGTGCCGACAGGGAAGGCCACGGTCGGCAGCTGTGGGTCACCACAGGGGCCTGGGAGAGGAAGGAACGAACAGACCATCACTTGGTCCGCGTGCGCATGCGTGAGCACACGTGCATAGCCCGATGCCACCCTGACCTGCAGGAAGCCCCCGGTGCAGCCAGCTATGAAGACGTGCATATAGCTGGGAGGTTGGACCCGCCGCTCCTGGTGGGAGGTGGCCGTGAGCACCAGCAGGGCATTGCTGTAGACCCCGAACAGGACTGAGTTGACCACAGCTATGCTGGCGAGGGGGAAGCTCATCCCCTTGAAGAAGCCCAGAATCTGCAGGGAGAGGCCGGCACTAGAGTGGGTGGGGCACGCAGGGGCCTCCCCGTTGCCCCTGGCAGCGCTGACCAGGCCTCCTCTAGCTGGAAACCGCTCTGAGCCCTGGCCAGGGGCGGAGGCGGGGTGGCCCCAGTACCACACTTGAGGTACTAAGCTACCACCCAGCCCCCGTGGCCCCAGACTTGGGTCTTCTCCCTTCCAGGGGCAGAACCCCACCTGGGGAGGAGGGAGCTGGCACCCCCTGCTCAGATGCCTCCCACCCCAAACCCTGCAGAACCAGGCCACCCACCGACTCATGGCGATACGTCTTGACTATACAGTCGATGATGCCGCGGTAAGTGCTCTGGGTCTGCAGCCGCACCTGGACAGGAGACAGAGCAGGAGGGCAGGCCACAAGGCTCTGGCGCAGCTCCAGCCTCCACCCCTTGGAGCAGGGCGCCTGCAAGGCTGGGGAGGCAGGCAGGTTTGCTGGCAGCCACGCCCTGCCCTCGGGGCATCCTGACGGTCCGTCCAGGGGACACCTTTCATTCCTTCGGTGCCTCTTCAAGACTCACCTTTACAGTGTCAAAGGGGTGTCCCAGGGCCAAGCCCAGAGCTCCTGTGGCGACAAGAAGGTGCCATGAGTGAGGCCCCTCACGCCAGTCTGAGGGCGTGGTCTGCCCCGAGGGGAGAGGGGCTGAGGCCGGAGAGGGCAAGGCCTGCTGCTGGGCCCCCTGCGCCCTCCTCCATGCCAGGCACTGGGCTGGTTAAGTGTGGGGACACAGGAGGGAGCCCCAATCTTGTCTGGGAGATACACATGCAGATGGGAGAGGCTACTCACAGACACGGGGCGTCCTTACTGGGTGGGAGCCCCTGTGCCTCCCCCCACCCCCCAGGGTCTGGCTGGCTTCTTTAGCCACAGCCTGTGGAGGAGTCTCCACAGCTCCTGCCTGCCTGACAGCTTTACCCTTTCCTTCCTCCCCCCTTCCTTCCTCCCTCCCTCCCTCTCTTCCTTCCTTCAACTCACAACCTCTGTCCAGTTCGGCCCTTGGTCCAGTCCAGGCCCTGCCCTCCAACGCTCTGCCCCCATCACTGGCACCAAGGGAGGAGGCCCCAGCCCCAGCCTCCTCCCCACCTCCTGGTCTTGCCCTCTATAGCAGAGGCTGGTCCTAGAACTTTGGGAGAGGTCACATCCCCGGGAGGCAGGGTCAGAATGTCCCTCTCCTTCTCCTAAGAGAAACGTCACCCAGAAACCGAGCTGGGCCCAGAGCACAGCAGGCCTCAGGGCCTGGGCGTCAGCTCATTGTCAAGTAGGGCAGAGGCCCAGAGGGGACCGTAGGATGGCAGGTGAGGTCAAAGGTGAACTTCTTTCTGAGCCCCACAAGGCAGACCCGGAGAGCAGGGTTCAGGGTTCGAGGTGCAGATGCTGGGGGTGCCTCAGGGAGGGTGCCACTCACCGTGGCTCCCCCTCTTGGCAGGCGCCGGGCAGCGCGGTCTGGGGACGCAGCAGGGCACTCTGCCACCTCTGCCTTCCCGTGCCCTCCCCTCAGACAACTCCCAGGATGCTCTGGGACGGCTGGCTTTGGCCACCCCAGGGGAACCAGGACTTCGGCCTCAGCTCCTCCTATGTCCCCTACCTTCCCCAGGAAGTACCCCACTATTGGGGACAACGTGACAGAAGGCAAAAGGTGTCTTACCGGAGATCCAGCCGGCCACGAACTCCTCCACAGGCATTGTCCAGGCGGCGGGACCCGGTGTCTGAGGAGCCGCTGGTAAAAGTGTAACTCTACCCTCTCCCTCCCCGAACCTGGACTGATAACCTCCCACTAATGTTTAACCCTGGGTGCAGGGTGAGCAGTGGCCCAGCGCCCAGGCCTGGGGCGCCAGGAGAGGGGAGCAAGCCAGCTGGGCCGGCCCCGAGGGACCGGAAAGGCTGTGCAGTGTGAAATCTCACGGGGCAGGGGTGACCGCCCACGGCGACCTGCCCGCCCTGCTAGCCAGCGCTGCCCTCGAAGTACGGCCAGGACCGGCAGCCAGGCCCAGGCCCCTGGCTGGGTGCTCCCCAGGCCGCCCCAGTGAGCTCGGGTTCAGGGAGTCTGCCTGGGGCCGAGGCCCTGCCTGCCCGGCCCAGCCCAGCCTGTATCCCCACGGGTCCCCACGTCACCACCACGCACCGCACCAGGCGACCCCAGGCAGGTAAGGAGGCTGGGCAGCTGGAGCCAGGCCGCCACCAGGGGCAGGCCCAGTGGGAGGTCTTCCTGGGCACTGGGGAGCCAGGAAGCTGGCAGCGGGGGAGGAAGGCCTTCCCCCAGATTGCTGGCTCTGCCCCCACGAGAGTCTAAACAGCCTCCTCTGGCCTCCTCACCGCAGGGCCTGTTCCCCAGGGAAAGATGGAGGTTTTGACTGTATAAAGGGCGTGTGCCTCTCCGCTTTAGGGTGACCAGGCTTTCACTGCCCGTTTCTTTTTTTTTTTTAAGATTTTATTTATTTATTTTTAGAGAGGGGAAAAGAAGGAGAGAGGGAGAGAAACATCAATATGTGGCTGCCTCTCATGAGCCCTCCACTGGGGCCCTGGCCTGCAACCCAGGCATGTGCCCTGACTAGGAATCGAACCTGCAACCTTTTTTTAAAAATATATTTATTGATTATGCTATTACAGTTGTCCCATTTTCCCCCCTTTACTCCCCTCCACCCTGCACACCCTCTCCCACCCACTTCCCCCCCTTTAGTTCATGTGCATGTGTCATACTTATAAGTCCTTTAGCTTCTACATTTCCCATACTATTCTTACCCTCCCCCTATCTATTTTCAATCTACAATCTATGCTACTCATTCTCTGTACCTTTCCCCCCTCTCTCCTCCTCCCACTCCCCTGTTGCTAACCCTCCATGTGACCTCCATTTCTGTGGTTCTGTTCCTGTTCTAGTTGTTTGCTTAGTTTCTTTTGGTTTTGCTTTAGGTGTGGTTGTTAATAATTGTGAGTTTGCTGTCCTTTGACTATACATGTTTTTTCTTTATCTTCTTTTCTTAGATAAGTCCCTTTAACGTTTCATAAAATAAGGGCTTGGTGATGATGAACTCCTTTAACTTGACCTTATCTGAGAAGCACTTTATCTGCTCTTCCATTCTAAATGAAAGCTTTGCTGGATAGAGCAATCTGGAATGTAGGTCCTTGTCTTTCATGACTTGGAATACTTCTTTCCAGCCCCTTCTTGCCTGTAAGGTCTCTTTTGAGAAATCAGCTGACAGTCTGATGGGAACTCCTTTGTAGGTTACTGTCTCCTTGTCTCTTGCTGCTTCTAGGATTCTCTCCTTCATTTTTACCTTGGCTAATGTCATTATGATGTGCCTTGGTGTGTTTCTTCTTGGGTCCAACTTCTTTGGGGCTCTCTGAGCTTCCTGGACTTCCTGGAAGTCTATTTCCTTTGCCAGACTGGGGAAGTTCTCCTTTATTATTTGTTCAAATACGTGCTCAATCTGTTGCTTTTCCTTTTCCCCTTCTGGTACCCCTATAATTCGGATGTTAGAACATTTAAAGATGTCCTGGAGGTTCCTAAGCTTCTCCTCGTTTTTTTGAATTCTTATTTCTCCATTCTTTCCTGTTTGGTTGTTTTTTTCTTCCTTCTAGTCCACTCTATTGTTTTGAGTCCCAGTTTCCTTCCCATCACTATTGGTTCTCTGTGCATCTTCCTTCATCCTTTTTATGGTAACCTGCATTTTTTCATCTAATTTGTGCCCAAAATCAACCAATTCTGTGAGCTTCCTGATCACCAGTGTTTTGAATGGTGCATCTGATAGATTGGCTATCTCTTAGTCGCTCAAAAGGATGAGTCCTGGGGCATTGATCTGTTCTTCTGTTTGAGACATGTCTCTCTCTCTCTCTCTCTCTCTCTCTCTTTTTGGTTTGGTCGCTCTTGTTATGGTGAGGGGCGGAGCCTTAGGTGTTCACCAGGGCTGGGCACCCCAGTTGCTAGATTGTGACATTGTATGTGGGGGTGGGGGCGGGGGCGGGAGGGAACAATTGAGGTAGCTCTGTTCTCCTGGGACCTCAGTCCCTTCCCTGGGATCCTTGGTTGTGCGCTTTGCCCTGGTCCACGATCGCTGCCTCACTAGGTCCGCCAGCCACTGCTGGCGTACTCAGGGTCCACCTGCTGCGATCTTGTGCGCCCCGGATGCCTTACGCGCTCCCTCCCGGTTGCCTTATGCGCCCAGTTCTCCCCATTCTCCGCGTGCCGTGCCCCACGCCCGGCTGCTCCTCTCTGCCCCTCCTACCGGTCTGGATGAACGGGTCTACTTCAACTTCTTGGCTGTCCGACTTCCATTCAGATAAATTCTCTATCAGTTCTGGGTGTTATTCTGCTTCTAAATTGTTGTTGTTCTAATCTTGGTTGTGCGTGGAGGTACGGTGCGTCCACCTATGCCTCCATCTTGCCGGAAGTCCGACCGTGCAACCTTTTGGTGTGCAGGCCCTCGCTCAGTCCACTGAGCTACACCAGCCAGGGCTGCCCATATCTTTTTGGACAATGACAACCCAAACTGACATGGCGGGGCGCTGGGGGACGAGAGGGAAGAAGGGCCGGAGAGGATCGCGCACAGAGGGCTCAGAGATCTGGGCTCAGCACCCACTGCCCGTAGAAGTCCGTGGAGCCCCAGATGCGGGCACCACGCTTAGAGTGGTCCTGAGCCCTCCCTTTCCCTCACATCTCACCACCATTCCAGGAGGAAAGGGCATTAGTATTGCCTGTAAGCCCTGGCTGGTGTGGCTCAGTGGCTTACGTGCTGGCCTATGAACCGAAAGTTTGATTCCGGGTCAGGGCACATGACTGGGTTACAGGCCAGGTCCCCAGAAGGGGGCATGTGAGAGGCACCCACACACTGATGTTTCTGTCCCTCTCTTTCTCCTTCTCTTCCCCTCTCTCTAAAAATAAATAAATTTTAAAAAATTAAAAGAATCAACCAATGAATGCATAAATAAGTGGAACAATGAATCAATGTTGTTTTTCCTCTCTCCCATCCTCTCTAAAAATCAATAAATAAAACTTCTTTAAGAAAAGAACAAGTGGACGAGTCGAGGGGCAGCATCGGCAGACAGCCCTGTGCCGGCCCTGGGGCTCCAGCCCTCTCCCGCACCTCCACAGAGCCCCAGAGAGCAGAGGCCCGACAGTGCCCCACCCGCCTCTGCAGGGCCCGCTGCAGGTCTTAGGCTCCCTGAGAGGCCGGAGAGCCAGTCCTGCTTGCCCTCCCTGCGCCTGAGCAGATCCCACCCACCGCACCACTTTCTCCCGGGGAGACAGGCTCTAGGAAGCAGGGTTTCACCTCTGACCCCTCCTCCTGAGTTGCCCAGGGCTCCTTGGGCCGCCCCCAGCACCTCTCTGAGCACTGGCCTCTGGTGGGGAGGGGGAGGGGAGCTGGGCTGCAATGCTACTGCTCATTCTCTCCTGAGTGACGTTGAGCATTCCCTTCTGGGGGCCTCAGGGTCTTTAATGCTTGCAAAAGTAGGGGACCAGCCCAGCTGTGCTGACTCTAAGGCCTCCACAGGCCTGTCAGCTGTCCCCTCACTTCCGAATGGGCCCACACTCTTCTCTAACCCCGCCTTACCACTCCGGTTCATGGGTTCATGGGAGACCAGTTAGCATGCCCCAAAGCCTTGCGGAAGGACAGCCCCGGCCCTGGCTTGCTCTTCTCCAGCTCCCAGCAAGTGCCACCAGGTTAGCCCCCTGCCTGGCAGAGCGGAGCTCTAGTCTCCTCGCTTTCTAGCTCACAGCCTCTGAAACCCCCTCCCAGCCCGCGAAACCCACCACACACCCGTCACCCTGGCACTCACCCTCCCACGGGGTGCCACCCCGCCTTCCCAGCCTCACCTGTCAGTTGGGTTGCCGGGGCTCCCCGGGTGTCCTGATCGTGCCCCACAGTTCCCACCGCCTGGAATGCCTTCAGGAGTCTCCGCTGCCCCTCCTCGCTGGACCTGGGCTCCAGCCTCCTCACCACCACCGCACGCACACACACACGCCAGACCTCAGCTTTGCTATTTAGCCCCTCTGGTCCTGTTTTATGCCTCCATGGAGTGGACATGTAATACACACCTCAGTGAGTCGTCAGGATTAAAAGCACTTGGCGGGGGGGTGGGTCTGGCGCATTGTGCGTGCTCCACGGGCGGCAGCTCTGTTGTTCCGGTTTCCGCTCCCAGGGTCCGCGAGCTGGCGACCTGAGGACACGCGGGAAAGGGCCTAGCACACAGTAGGTGCTCAGGCATTAAGGACCCTTCCTTCCAGCCTGTGGCAGTTTTAACTTTTTAAGGCAATCCTGTCATCTGTGTAGGTTTTTGGTTTTTAAAAATAAATTTTAAGCGCTGGCTGGCCTAGCTCAGTGGATTGAGTGGGGGCTGTGAACCAAGGTGTTGTAGGTTCGATTCCCGGCCAGGGTACATGCCTGGGTTGCAGGCCATAACCCCCAGCAACCGCACATTGATGTTTCTCTCTCTCTATCTCCCTCCCTTCCGTCCCTAAAAATAAATAAATAGAATCTTTAAAAATAAATAAATAAATAAAGTTTAACCTGGGCTGGTGTGGCTCAGTGGACTGAGCGCCAACCTGCCAACCGAAAGGTTGCTGGTTTGATTCCGGGTCAGGGCGCAGGTCTGGGTTGCGGACTGGGTCTCTGGTTGGTGGTGTGCGAGAGGCAACTGATGGATGTGTCTCTTACTCATCGATGTTTCTCTCCCGCTCCTTCTCCCTCCCTCCCTCCCTCCCCCTCTCTAAAAATAAATAAATAAATAAACATATTATTTTTATTTTAGAGGGGGGGAAGGGAGGGAGAAAGAGAGGGAGAGAAACATGGATGTGAGAGAGAAATGTCGATTGGTTGCCTCCTGTACACGCCCTGACCAGTGACCGAACCCACAACCCAGGCATGTGCCCTTGACTGGGGATCAACCCGGCGACCTTTCGCTTATGCGGAACAAAGCTGAACCAACGGAGCCACACGGATCAGGGCTCATCTCTGTGGTTTTAAACATGTGTTCCTCCTGGGCTTCCCTCTCTCCTCTCTCCCTGCACTCCCCAACTCAACCATAACACCAGCTTCTACGTATCACCCAGGTCTCCACCCCCTGCCCTGGCCCAGGGCCCACACCCAGCAAGCACTCAACAACCTTGAACTGTATTCCCACTTTGCTGCGTGGGTTTAGGGAGGCCACCGAACCACTGTGTCCTGATCTGAGAGGGTCACAGAGCTGAGAACCAGGAGGGAAATGCCTGTTCCCACTGCTACCCTCCTCTCCAGCTCACATCTGACTTCCCTGAGTCCCGAGTTCATGCGGGGAAGGAAGATGTCATAACGGGCAGTGTGGGTCCAGGCGGGCAGGCTAGGCGCTATCTCAGATCCCGAGGAAGCCAGGCCTGGACTAGGAGCTAGAGCTCCATTCCAGTGCCAAGAAGTCAGGGCCTGGCAAGCTCACCCCCACCCGCCCTCAGACTTCTCCTGGTTCTGCCCATCATCAAGTTCATTGCTGTCACCTGGAACAAGCTCTTGCACCTCTGGCTCGGGAAGGCACCCCACGGACTTGTTTTTCTCCCTGAGACACACACATCAGGCACATGCATGCTGAGTTGCCAGGGCACATTGGTGACGTGACCCTGGGGGTAGGTGGTTTCACACCTGCTCTTCCAGGCCCCGTTCCTTTTCCCAGCCGGGAAAGGCCTCAAGGTCTCCGAGGCTGCGTGTCTCAGATAGCAAGGGCTCATGTGACCGCTCCCTGGAAAAACAAGTGTGCCCCGCCTGCGTTTCTGGCATATAATTTGAGGGTCCTTGGAGGTCATCCTCATTTTGCAGATGAAGGAAACGGGCCCAGAGGGAAAGGGACTTGTCCAGGGTGAGTCAGGACGGGGACCCAGTCTTCTGACCATGGAAAAGAGCCCATCACCCCTCCTGGCCACAGGGGTGGGGGCTCTGCAGTACAGGTCATTGCCTGTGTCACCTTTACCCAAGCCCAGCACAGTGGGAACCCCTGACGCATCCTAGTTAGCATCTCCATTTTACAGGTGAGGGGGACAGACCCAAAGTCACACGCAAGTAAGTGCCAGGGCTCACGCCCAGAGCCCCAATAGCCTTGAACTTTCCACACCCTGTTACAGGCCATCGGTGTGAGTGCCACTCGCCCTTAGTCACTCGGGTAGGTGACGGGGCTGGTTCTTAGTGCGGCCGTCCCAGGAGGTGCCCAGACAAACAAGAGATGTGTGACCAGGTCGTCCCGATCTTGCGCAGGACCTCGGGGTTGGGCGTGGGGGGACCCTGAGCGCGCAGGCACCGCAGGGCGCGTGCGTGGCGGCCTCAGGCTCCCATTGGCTCCCGCGGGCCGGGGAGGTGGGGCCCTGCGCCCCGCGCTTCCTCTGCTCCGGCTTCCGCGTCGCACCCGGGGTGCTGGGTGCCGAAAGGGGAGCTGGAGTCTCCGTGGACGGCAGAGCCCGAACCGGTGCTGGGGGTCGGAGTCAAGGCAGCGACCTGGGCTGAGGCGGCTGGCGCTGCGTCCCTGCGAGGTGAGGGCGCGGCGACGCCGTGCGCTGGCCCCCCGCTGCGACGCGGTTGCGCCGTGCCCCACCAGGGCTAGCCGGCGAGCCGAGCTTCCACCGCCCTGGGGGCCATCACGGCCTGGTCCTCCCACCAGCCCTGACCTGGAGTTGGCTGAGGACCCCGCTCACCTCCACCCCTCTAGTCTGCGCACCAGTGCCTCCAGCCCCGGTTGCTCGTTTTCACAGATCAGCCCGGGACCCTTCCCTTCCTCTTTGACAGCTTCCCCAGCCACCCCATCCCCGGACCCCCAGTTACAGCTCTTTTTCTTTCCCTCTGCAGATGGACGGGACGGAAGACATTGCCGGGCAGCCCGGCCCCGCTGAGCGGTCCCATCGAAGCAGCGTGTCCTCCGTGGGAGCCCGAGGTGGGTCCCTGTCTCCATCTCCCCACCATACCCTCTTGGGGCCCCAGCCCCAGGGATGTGGCCCTGGCTTCTCATCTCTTCCATTAAAGAGAATCTTAGGCGTTAATTAACAAATAAGATGTGTTGAGGCATGCAAAAGTGACCCAAGTCAACCAGAGGACCTGGGTTCTGTTACTAGGCTACTGGCCAAGTTGGGTACTCTTCTGAATCTCCTTTTCCTCATTTGTAAAATGAGCGTGTCTCACATAGCTGTGAAGTTCAAAGTTCATGAGTGAAAAATGACGCATTCACTTTCTTTGTTGGATTTCTTTGTCACAAACACCCTTTTGAAAGCAGGGATCCTTATCTTCATTTTCTTGGAGGGAAATTGGCTCCTGGAGAGGTTAAGTCACAGGATACTGGAGCCCTCAGTGCCTCAGTTTTCCCCACCTGAAAAGTGGGTCTGAATCTCAGCATCCTGGAGATGATCTTATGGTCTCTTAAGAAAGTAGCTGTTAGGGAACAGACTGGGTATCCAAAAAATGCTTTCCCTTGTATTAATGATAAACTGTGCCTTTCTTTTTCTTTTCTTTTTTTTTTTTTTAAGATTTTATTTATTTATTTTTAGAGAGGGAAGGAAGGGAGATAGAGGAGAGAGAAACATCAATGTACAGTTGCTGGGGGTCATGGCCTGCAACCCAGGCATGTACTCGGACTGGGAATGGAACCTGCGACACTTTGGTTCGCAGCCCGCACTCAACCCACTGAGCTACACCAGCCAGGGTTAAACTGTGCCTTTCACAGGCTTTACCTTATTTGATTTACAGCCACACTTCGAGGGAGGGTAGCCCAGCATCACGGGCGAGGCAGCCTGCACTCACCGGCTTGCTGGAGTCAGCCAGCCAGCCAGGGGCCGGGCGAGGGTGGGAACCTGAGTGTATTGACCTCCGAGCTCAGCACTCCTTCCCGCTAGCTGCAGTTCCAGGGACGGGGGGGTTTGAATCTGGCTGCTCTTCCGAAGGTCTCCCCTTGGCTCTGCACTGCAAATAGAAACCCCAAGAGCTGTCACGAGGGAATGCCCAACTTGTACTCCCCAAGCCTGTCTGAGACTATCTTGAAAGGCCAGGGTATTGAGTGCTGAGTTCTGAGTCCTAAGGAAGCTCAGCACGGGATCTTGCTTCACCCTGGGGTTCCTTGAGTCCTCAGTTCCCACCTTAGCCTGGGCCAGAGAGAGACAGCGACTTGCCCAGCTCTCCCCACTCCCAGCCTGACATGCCAATGGTACCAACCTCAGCACGGGCTCAGCCTGTCTGCCCCAGTCCCCGCCGGGGGAATGCGCTCCGTCAGGGAAGAAGCGCAGAGGAGTGCTTGGGGTTTCGAGGGGAGCGCGCAGCGGGCAGTGCCAGCCCTAATTGGAACCTTTGGGGGTTGGAGTGTGGCTAGGCCAGTGCCTGGGGCAGAGGTGCTGGACTTCAGGGTGCTGTGAGGGTCTTGAGTAAGCCCCGACAGCACTCTTTCCGGGGTCCCCAGGGGTGCTGGGGCCCTGCCTCTTTCCAGGGTCTCCCAGGGGTATAGAGTGGGGGCTGCAGCCCCAGTGGGGGTGGAGGGTTCCTGATGGACATGCCTGCGCCTGCGCACCGGCCCAGCCGACCCTGCCCGGCTTCCGTTGCAGCACCGGACGTGCTGGTGTATTTGGCGGATGACACGGTGGTGCCCCTGGCCGCGGAGAACCTGCCGTCCCTCAGTGCCCACGAGCTGCACCGCGCCATCCGCGAGGTCCTGCAGCTCCCAGACGTCGCCATGGACATCTTCGCGCTCTGGCTTGTCTCCCCTCTGCTGGGTAAGGCTTGCCAGGGAGGAGCCCGGTGCGCCAGAGGGGGCGGCTTCCAGGCCTGAGGCCACCGTACCTCAGGGGGAAGGTGGGACTCCAGTGTGCCCTGGAGCTGTCCACCCCTTGAGGACCCAGAGTACGCGGACGATGCCCGTTTTCTTTCTGCTGGTGGCAGAGGAGGGGCGGGACTAGGAGACAGGGAGGGTCGGGGTCTGCGTGCGCGGAGTTTGTGCTCTGTGCCCCAGCCCGAGCTGGCATTTCCAGAGCGGAAGGTCACCATATTCTCGTGGCCCAGCCCTCTCTTGCAGATAAGGGAATTGAGGTTTGGCATGGTGGGACCAGTGCGTGGGAGGGCTGCGAGCAGAAGGGAAGCCTGGGTGACCCCCAGCTGACCTCTTTGAACTGCGCCTGCTCTTGAGGGCGGGGAGGCCGGTGGCACTCAGCGCTGGAGGCAGCTGTCTCTGAGGACGGGACATTGCCTGCGGGTCAGGAAGGCAAGATGAGCGGGAACCGACTTGTCTGCGGGGGTGGGTGGGGGGGCTCCAGCCCTGCCTGGCTTCTGGCCTGCACCCACCAGTGCCCTGCCCTTTCAGGATGAGATGCCAAAGGTGGGGGTGGTGCCGTGGCTCTGAATAGGGCCTCCAGCCTCCCGGCTTGGGCAGGAAGGGGGTCGGGGAGAGCATGCCCCGCTGGTGCCAGGGCCAGGCGTGTTTTCCGAGCTTAAACCTCCTTTCTTGTAGAGGAGCAGGGGCAAGAAGAGGGTGACTGGGCCCCGGGGCCCCCAGTGGTGGTGGTTTGCACCTCTACCCCGGAGGGGAGGATATCGGCTGGCTCGGTGGCAGAGGGAGCGCCTGCCCCCCACGCACACACACACACCCCTTCTGCCAGTGGGAGCTTCCCGCCCAGCTGCTGCGCTCGCCCACCGCCTTCCTGCTGACTCGTCTCCTCCAGCTGCTCCCCGCCCAGCGCAGCTGTGCTTCCGTGAGCCGCCAGGCTGTTGTTGGTCAGGACTGTGGGCCCCTTGGCTTGTGCCTTTGAAAAGCCAGGAGGGACGTTCCTTCCATGTGGTGGGCGCTGCCTCAGGCTCCCTGTCCCTGCAGCTGGACAGCTTGTTTTCCCCTCCCGCTTCCTCTGCCCCCGCTCCCCCCTCCTCGCATTCCTGCTCCCCCTCATGAGCATGAATGGGCCGCCTGTGTGCCCCGCTGGCCTGGTCTCCCTGGGGCACCGCCTCGTCCAGGAGGGCGGCTGGAGGCTCCGGCAGGAAGTCAGTGCCCACTGTGTTCCCTCGCTGCGTTCAGGAAGGCTGAAAGGTCACTTCAGCTTTGACTAGGGCCCCCACCGGGACCTTTGCCACCACCCCCCGCCCCCTGACAGATGGCCTGGGGCCGTGAGGCAGGGAGGGCTGCTGGCGCAGGCGCCACCCTTCCTTCAAACTGGGTGTTTGGGAGGGTTTGGCCTCCCCGTTCCCTTTGTCACTCTACTTGGGACAGGGCTCCAGGGATAGTCTGTCTGTCTGGGTGACAGCTTCCAGGAGGAATGGTCCCATCTGGAAGCGTCAGACCAGGGGGTCAGTGTGGTCCCGTTCTGACAGCAGAAGCCTTCTGAGCTGCCGGGGCTCGGGGTTCAAGGCCAGCCAGGGCTGGGCCATGGGCAAAGGCAGGGCTCCCTTAGCCCAGACTCCCCCCCACCACCACCCCCGTGTGCCCAAGGGGCCCCTGTTCATCTGACAAGTATGTACGGAGCCCCACCCCTGCCCTCAGGGAACTGGTCTAAAGTGTGGGGCTGGAGACTCGGTGGGCAGAGCTCTGCCCTGCGTGAGCCACTAACTCTGGTGGCCTTGGGCAGGCACTGCCCCTCCCTGGGCTTCGGTGAGCCTAGCCCGAGCGTGCCTGGAGGATCCTGCGAGTGGTGGGGGCAGTGCCGAGGGAGCCCTTCCCGGAGGGGAGGGGGTGCTGCTGCACACAGCGAACCCCCCTCCCGGGGGCCCTCCAGCAGGGGTGCCTCTGCAGGGTGCAAGCACGTGCCGCGGTCGGCAAAGAGTGCCGGGGAGCCACCAGGAGCCCTGGATCAGACAGACGATGGGAGGAGAAAGGGCTGTGGGGAAGCCGAGTGCGGGGGTGGGGTGGAGGGCTCTGTAGGCAGGGAGGGAGGCCACTTTGGAGGCTGTGGCTGTGGTTGTGGGTTGCGATCAGGGTCCAGATGGAAACCCAGAGGACAGGGACGAGGACCCTGGGCTCCGGGCTGGCAGGACAAGGTGCCCGGCCCTCTGGCGGGAGGGGTGAAGGCCGGAGACAAAGGTCAGAGGGCAGGGAAGCTAGTTGATGGCGTGGGCGTTGCCATTCCCCCTCCATGCTGCACCCGGCCCCCAGCAGCCATCTCCATTCGTCACCAGGTGGTCTTGGAAGTGGCCTCAGACTTCTCAAGGCTGCGGTGTCCAAGGTGAAACTGCTCTGCCACTCTCGGACTGAGCTGTTGAGTCCTGGGGCACTGCTGCGGCGAGGACCCACGGCGGGCCTGCAGCACAGCAGTGAACCACGCGGGGGCGCTCCTGCCCTAGTGACGCTCGGGCTGGTGGGGGCACGGACAGTGAGGTGGAGTCAGATAGTGCCGACCACTGCAGAGTCGCCCAGCTGGGGCACAGTTGGTGTGACAGTGACAGGGAGGGGCTGCCCTAGCTAAGGGTCCAGGGAAGGTGACGCCTGAACCGAGACCCAAGCCAGCAGGTCGTGTGATGCTCTGGGGGAGGGACCGAGGCCGGAGGAGCAGCAAGTGCAGAGGCCCGAGGCACGAACACGCTGGGACCGTGCTAGAGAGTGAGGAAGGCCGGATGGGAGAAGGGGCAAGAGAAGGAGGGGAGGTGGGGCAGCTGGATGGCTGGCGTCTGTGGCCACGGAGGCCAGGAGCTGGCAGGATTGGGAGGGCAGCTGGCACGCCCAGGGGAGATGCCAGAGGTGGGGGCTGGGGGGAGGGGGCCCCGGCTCTGCCAGGGCAGGGCAGGGCAGCCCCTCGGGTCTCCATCACCAGCTTTGAGCTCCCCTTCCTAACGGCAGTGCTGGGGCCATCTGTACCGCCGCCCCCAGCTCCTTCCGCCCGTGGGCCACCCTGGGCACCGTAGGGCACAGCCCAAGGCTGGCTCCGCTCTGTGACTGTGAACAAGCCACTTAAGCTCTCGGAGCCTCGTTTTCTCTATGGATGAGGTGAGGCTGGGGCATTGCAGAGTGTGCCCCTGAGACCGTGCTGGCCGCTCAGTGCCTGCTCGGGTGACGCTGGCCGTGACCGCCGCCGAGTCGCTGGTGGGTGGGCAGCGGTTGCACTTGCACGTGCCTCAGGGCCCGTGCCCTTGCCCTTCCTCCGCCTGCGCCGGCAGAGGCTGCAGCGCCGCTCCCTCTCGCCCCGCAGAGGTGCAGCTGAAGCCCAAGCACCAGCCCTACAAGCTGGGCCGCCAGTGGCCAGAGCTGCTGCTGCGCTTCACCGACGCGCCAGACGATGACGTGGCCACAGGTCAGTGCGCGCCTGCCGGCCCAGCCGGGCCTCTGGTGGCAGCGTTCGGGGGCTGCCCTGGCTGAGGGGCAGGGCCAGCGTCCTCCCCAGGCCCCGTCAGCCTCTCCTGGCAGGGGAGCCCGGGGTCCCCCGGGGAGCCCGACAGAGGGTGGGCCGGGAGGTCAGTGAGCGTGTCGAGACGAGCCGCACACCCCGCTGTCTGGACAGCTGCGGTTGGGTGAGCCCGAGGATCGGGGACCGGCCCGGCGTCGGGAGAGGGCCGGGCGGGGCTGAGCAGTGACCCTGGCCTCTTCCCCAGACGAGCCCTCCCTGCAGTTCCGAAGGAACGTGTTTTTCCCAAAGCGGCGGGAGCTCCAGGTGAGGCGGCCGACCCCAGGCGGGCCTGGTGCCCCGTGCTTAGCCTCCCGGTGTCCGTGGACCCCTAAGCCCCAGCGCCCTAGCCGAGCTGAGCAGCTCCCCCCCACCCCCGCCCCACAGATCCACGACGAGGAGGTCCTGCGGCTGCTCTACGAGGAGGCCAAGGGCAACGTGCTGGCGGCACGGTACCCATGCGACGTGGAGGACTGCGAGGCCCTGGGCGCGCTGGTGTGCCGCGTGCAGCTTGGGCCCTTCCGGCCTGGCCAGCCCACGGCCTGCACCCTGAGGTGACGGCCAGCATGACCTGAGGCAGGGGGTGGGGTGGGTGGGGAGGGTTGCCCCAGAATCCTGCTTACAAGTGGCCATAGCTCTTTCGAGGTCCCCGAGTCGGGGGGCCTCGGCCCCAGGGCTGGCGCTCATACTGTGGGACCTTGGGTGGGTCGCGCCCGGCCTCTCCCCTCCTCCTTTCTCCCACGACCCTGTGTGGCTGGATGGGAGGCTGCTGCTTCTCACATCCCCGTTGGGCAGAGCACACCACTGACAGTGCTGGGTCACTTGCGGTTTTTCTGCTGTCAGATTTCCCCTTCCTTGTGACCCAGATGTCGCCATGGAGCCCTCCGGCCTCGGCCTGGTGTACGCTCCTCCCCGTCTCCCGGCTTTCCCTTCAGGGCCCTCGCCGGTCGGGCGTGCTGCTGGGACGGCGGCAGTAGGACTCCTGGTGGCCCGTGTCCAGGGCCGCCCCCCCCCCCCCCGCCCCGTGAGCGTGCCTGCCCCAGCCACGGAGCCCCTCCTCACGCCGAGCATCATCTTCCTCTCCCCGCAGGGAGCAGCTGGACTCCTTCCTCCCTGCCCACCTGTGTAGGCGGGGCCACGGGCTCTTTGCTGCCCTCCGGGGCCGCGGGGCCAAGGCCGGGGCCAGCGAGCAGGGCCTGCTCAACGCCTACCGCAAGGTGCAGGAAGTGGCCGGCGGCGATGGCGAGCCCGAGGCTCCCCTGAGGACCCACTACCACGCCTACCTCCACAAGTGCCACGAGCTGCCCTACTACGGGTGGGTGTCGTCGTCGTGGCCACCACGGCCCCGGGGCCCCTCCGTCCCATGACAGCCCTGGCCTTCGCGAGCGTGGTGCGCCAGGAGCCCGTCTCCGCTCCGGCCGAGCCCTGTCCTCACGTGAGGTGTGCCGTGACTCCAGCGCCTCCAGCCCCACGGGTCCCCAGCTGGACCCTTGTCCCTCCCTTCCTCCTCTCACAGACCAGGTCAGCCCGGGCAGGTCCTCCCCTCCCCCCTGCCCCAGTCGCTTGGTCAGTGGACCTGCTGACCTGCCCATCAGCCAGTGCTGTGGTTCACACGGTCAGCCTCCTGCCGGGAGCACTGGTCCACCTGCTGCGGTGGCGCTCGGCACAGGCCCCACCTCCGTGAGCAGGGACCCCGATCCCTGCCGGGTGACACTGCGGGTCTAGTGGAGACAGACTACATACAGGTGGGCAGGGGCCGCAGGCAGCCCGCCTGAGGGCCGTGTGACATTTCTGCACGGGCGTGACGTGGCTGAGGCCAGATTGTGGTGACACTGGAGGTGAGACATGGCCGGACTCCAGGGTGCTGGGACGGACTTGCCAGAACCTTCCGGCTAGAGGTGTGGTGGGAGAGGTGAAGGAGAGGGTGCAGGAGAGCACTCCAGGTTTCTGTCCCAAGCAGCTGGAGGGTGACCTTGTCATCAGCTGCAGTGGGACCGTGCAGGGGGCAGGCTGGGGAAGGCTGGGGGCCCTGGCACATGCCGATGGTGAGGCGCTCGCTGATGCGCAGGTGGCAGCCCTGAGGAGGCGTGTGGGTCTGGGAGTCGGTGGTGACCGGCGAGGCGGCAGCACGTGGCTGGTGTTGAGCCCAGGGGGCCCGGAGAGACGGCCCGTCTGCGGACGGCAGGAGGGTCCGGGCCAGCCAGGCGGGGGGTTCTCCACAAACCAAGCAGAGGGAGGCATCGGGGAGGGAGTGACTGAGCATCCCGTGCTGCTGCTTCAAGGTCAAGTTCGACAGGTCCTGTGTGGCAGGCAGTCCTTGGCTCCAGCGTTGTGGAGGAGACAGCAGGCCAGGGAGAGGGAGACGAAGCCCGGGACAGTGCGCGTGACCAGCTGTTCCCGTGGTGCGCTGTCCCGTGCGCTGCGCAGTGGGGTCAGGCGGCGGAGCGGCAGCTTGGGCGCGCTGGGGACGGAAGTTAACTCGGGGACAGGCGAGGTGTGTGTGCTGACGGGGACGGCCCAGCAGAGAGCGAAAGCCTGAGCCGAGGGCGGGTGAGCGGCCCCTCCTCTGCTGGTTCAGTCTCCCCAGCCCTCGGCCAGGCCTGTAGAGGTCTCCCAGGAGCAGGGACAGGCGCGGGACAGGCATGGGCCACTGGGCGGCGAGCGAGGCTGCTCTCGGTGAGGGAAGGTAGTGGGTGCTTGTCCTCGGGCCCCTGCGCCAGCACAAGCGGTCACAGAGAGCGGGACTGACCAGGGTGCTGGCTTAGCCCCGGGCAAGGGGGTGAGGGGCCAGGGCAGCCGCAGGAGTGGGAGAGGACATGGCCAGGCAGGAGGGAGAGGGTGGCAGCTCGGTGGGTTGGCGTCCCAAAGCCACTTCACTCTCTTTTCATCTCAGTGTCAAGCCCTGCAGCCGCTTTCCTAACCCTAACGCCAACCCCCGTGTGCGCCCCACGCAGGTGCAGCCTTGACCCCCCCGCTGCTGCCCAAGGGGGCGGCGGGGCTCTCCCAGCCCTGGTGTGGCCTGGCCCGCCCCCCAGCAGCCTCAGCCCCTGAGTCCCCGGGCTCCTGGCGGCCCCCCGAACGTCACCTGTTCCGTCCACACCTGGGCCCATGTTCTCCCTCTGCCTGTGGTGCCCTCTCTGTGACACTCAGTTCGACCTCCTGCCTGTTCAGACCGTCCCGTCCTGCACGACCAGCTCGGATGCCACCACCCCCCCCGCCACACACACAAGCCTCCCTCTCACCCCGCCCCCCCGGGCAGGCTTCCATTTAACCTGCGGTCACCTGCACGGCTGAGCTGCTCCAGACGCCGGGTGGTCTGTTCCCAGGGCCGGAGGGGCCAGGCTGACCCTGCCCCTCTCCCCAGGTGTGCCTTCTTCCACGGCGAGGTGGACAAGCCGGCCCAGGGCTTTCTGCACCGCGGCGGGCGGAAGCCGGTGACCGTGGCCATCAGCCTGGAGGGTGTGCATGTCATCGACAACAGGGAGAAGGTACCTCCACCTCCTCCCGGGTGGGAACTGTGGGGGTCTCTGGAGAGGAAGGGAGCAGGGTCCTTACCCTGGCCTTCTGGGGTCTCCTGGGCCTGTGATTGGCCTTGGGCAGGGTGGGCGGCCTGTCTGGGAGGGCCCCTGCCTCTCTTGGGTGTCTCTAGGGCTTTTACTGTCTTCCTGGGGGCTTTTCCAGGTCTGCTGTGGGTCAGCTTTTCTGCCCCATGTGCTAGGCTGGGGGTGCCGGGCAGGGGGGCGGCCACTGGGACGGACACCGGTGCCTGCGGGGAGTCTGGCTGGCTGGGCTGTGCTGCCCGGCCTGCAGCTGCACGTCAGCTCCTGGTTTCCCAGAAGCACCCACGATCAGGAGCCCTCCTGGGCTGTCCAGGTGCTGCCCCTCACCCCACACGGGGTCACTGCTGTCCAGGCTGCTGTGGCGAAGGTGGTGGCGACAACCGGGGGTGCTTCCCTGCTCCTGCTCAGGAGTCCCTCCTCGGCCGCAGAACAGTTCGGGGACACTTCCGGTTGTCCCCGGAGAGGGACCCCAGCCCTTCCTGGGCAACTGTGCTGAGGAGCTACCCAGCTGACCTCACGGGAGAGGCCCCCCTGCCCACCTGCCTCTCCCCGCACCGGGTGTCCTGGCCGTCGGGGCCTCCACCCCGTGGGTGAGAAATGCTGTGGGTCAGAGCCCCTCAGCCTCCCTGGGCCCCGCCCCCTCGCAGGGGACTCCTGTCCTCAGAGAATCGCATGGGCGAATTTAGACCCAGCCTTGGAGTGAAACAGCCGGGAGTTGCCCCCTGGCGGCACCCGCGCCCAGCTCCGCCTCTCCCGCTGGCCAGCACGTGCTGCTGGGCCTGCGTTTCCAGGAGCTGTCCTGGGACCACACGTCGCCCGAGGAGGAGGAGTCTGTGCTGTGGCTGGAATTCGACGGGGACCATGAAGGCACACCGGTGAACAAGCTCCTCAAGGTCTACTCCAAGCAGGTAGTGGGGGGCCGCCTGCGCTGGTGTGGGTGGGGCGGGGGAGGCTGGGCTCAGGGGGCCCCAGCCTGTTGGAGGCTCCAGGCTGACTGGCAAGGGGGTGCCGTGGCTGCTGGGGGCCCGGGCACCTGGGGAGCGGGCTCCTCCTAGCCCAGAGCCGCCCCGGGGAGCTCGCTGGGACCGGTCTGGGGCGTTGCCCACATCAGGCGGTGGCTGTTGTCTGAGGGCTTCCCAGGGCTGTGCGGCTGCCCCACACCAGGTCCCTCCGTCCTCCTCGTCCTCGAGCAGGCTGCTCTCGGGGGAGGTGCGGGCGTGGGAGGGTTAGGGCCGCCTCCACCACCCCTGTCCCCCCTCAAGGAGAGGCGCCCCCCCACCTAGGGCTCAGTCAGGACTGTCACCTCAGCGCCTCTGCAGGCAGACACCACCCAGGGACTCCTGTCTCTGAAAGCGGCCGCCCCCGCACCCCTCCTGCCCCTCCTGGGGTCTCTGGACCCTACAGAGCCACGCTGCTCCCTGCCCTCTCTCTGCGCCTCCCTCCCTGTTCCTCACCCCTCAGCAGCCTCATCTGTCACCATGGGGCCAGCCCTGTGGCCTCCGACTCCCCTCCCCCGTGGGTTCTCTCTTGGAAGCACCAGGCTGGTAGTCCGCCTGCCCGGTCCCTGCCGTGTCTCCCTGCCGGCCGCAGCGCCGGGCACAAGGCGGGCGCCGATAAACGTGTGTTGCCTGGCCAGGGAGCGCCACTCACCGACGGCTTTCCCCCTGTGGACCCGTCAGTCCCCTGACGTGGCCCGACCTGTGGCGTCCAGACCACGGTCGCTGACTTCTGGTCACTTCGCCTTTTGTATCAGCATGTGTCACGTTTCCAGCGTGTTGAGAGGCCTCGCTTTTAAAGAACGTGCCCAGAAGGAGCCGCCCACCCCGCGCCCGTGCCCTCCCCGCCGCCTTCCCCTGCTCACGGGCCCGCAGGTTCTCCCTCAGCGATGTGCACGCAGTCCCCTCGGGCCAGGAAGCCCTGCCTGGGCCCTGTCCTCCCCGCTCGTCCTCCCCGTAGCCACCGGCTTCTCTCGCCTCCTGGCCTGTGCGCTGCGGCCCTGCTGCCTTCCAGCCCTGTGCCTTCTAACTAGAGCACTCCCCCCGCTCGTCCTCCAGGACCGACGTGTAACGTCACCCTGATGGGACGCCTCCCTGTTCCTGGCTGGCAGATGACCGGCCTCTGCTTCCTTTCTCGTGTGAATTTTTTTAAGGGGAAAGGTTTTTTTTCTTTTTTATTTATTGAATTTTAAAGATAAAGAGGAGGAGAAAGAGAAATACCGATTTTTGTCATTCTGCTGATTTATGCATCCGTTGGTTGATTCTTGTATGTGCCTTGACCAGGGATCGAACCCGCAACCCTTAGCTTACGGGGACAATCCTCTAACCAACTGAGCTACCTGGCAGGGCTATACGAATGGTATTTGTTTCCTCATTTGCATCCCCCACCAGAGAGCGGGCAGAGCGGGCAGGGGACATCCCTCTGGTTCCCTGCCCTGTAGGGTTGGGGGGCCTGGGCCTGGGCTGTGGCTCACCCCCCAGTCCTCACGTGGGCCTCTCTCCCCTCCCCAGGCTGAACTGATGAGCAGCCTCATCGAGTACTGCATTGAGCTGAACCAGGCCTCAGAGCCCGACGCCCCCCAGGACAGCGGGACTGGCCCCTCCTCCGCCCCTGGCTCCTCGCCCCCTCCCAGCCAGCGCCCCCAGCTGCAGAGACAAGGCAGCGTGGTGTGCAGCCGGATCCAGCACCTCTCCACCATTGACTACGTGGAGGAGGGTGAGTGACCCCTTCATGGTACATGCGCCCGCACACGTGTACACACGCGCACCATGGGGAGCTCTGGAGGTACGGAGGGCTGGGTGTAGTGCCACATCTGAGCTCTGTGATCGGGAACTGGAGGCCTCTGGGGCCCTGGGGCAAGAGTCCTGTTCTCTCCCCGCTGGCTGCTGCACCCGCAGGTGTGTTCATGCAGGGCCGTCCCGACGTGAAAGAGTAGGAACTCCCGAGGTCTGCTGCGACATGGGCGGGCGAGGAGACGGTGGGACCTCACCCTGCGAATAGGCGCGAACGGTGAAAACGCGACGCCCTAAACGCAGTGTGGTGTCTGGGGTCGGGTCCTGGAGTAGACAGGACGTGTGTGGAGGAGCTGGTGAAACCGGTAGTCTCTCAAGTTTATGTTGTACCCATGTTCCCGTCTCAGCTTCGACAGACGCACCAGGGCAGCAGAAGGTGCTGCCGTCAGGAGGGGCTGGACGAGGGTATTACTGTCTTTGCAGCATCTCTACAAATCTAGAATCATTGCAGAATAAAAGGGGCTTTTTAATGCAGTAACGCAGACCTACATTTAAAGGGCAAGACGTTTACCAAATAATACTGAGCAGAGGAAAGTCAGGTAGTAGGACGGCAGCCTGCCCGCGGCGTCTGTGTGTGCGGGGAGGGGAGGCTTGCTGTGGCGGTCGGTGGCTGTGACTCCTCCTGTCTCCTTTGTGCTGCTTCGTAGCGTTTAAGTTTTCTACAAGCATGTCACTTTTACAACTGGAAAAAGCAAAACAATATTTATTTTTCTTTTTTTTTTAAGATTTTATTTATTTATTTTTAGAGAGGGAAGGGAGGGAGATAGAGAGAAACATCAATGTGCGGTTGCTGGGGGTCATGGCTTGCAACCCAGGCATGTACCCTGACCGGGAACCGAACCTGCGACACTTTGGTTCGCAGCCCGTGCTCAATACACTGAGCTACGCCAGCCAGGCAAAATAATATTTCTGTAACACAATTGTTAGCGGTTTTGCTCAGCGTGGTTGGCGTTTTCACTCTGCCCCCTGCTGGTGGGCATGGCAGTTACCTCCAGTCCTCAGCTACTGCAAACATCACTCCTGTGGCCGAGTCCTTGCCTGGACTCTGAACTGCTTCCTCGGGATAAGGTCCTGGAAGAGGGGTTGCTAGGTCCTGGGCTGTGCCCACTGGTACCCCTCCCAAAGGAGAGGGCGCACTGCCCGCCACGTCCCCGCTCACCAGGGAACACGGCGGTACAGCGTTATTAACCGTAGAGAAGAGACTCCGGGTGTCACCAGCTCCTCCACACACTCGGTGTCCTGCCTGCCCCAGGCCCAGGTCCCAGGTGCGGCTTCGTGTTTAGAGCGTTGCGTTTTTTTTTACCAGCTGTGTTGATTCGCAGGGTAAGATTCCATCGTTTTCGGGCGCACTGTGTCGCAGCAGACCTTGGGGGTCCCTAGTCTTCCGCATCTGGACGATGATGGGCATTGTTGTCGTCCAGACAGAGACCGGGTATGGGCTGCCGTTTGACTATTAGTGAAGTTGGACCATTTTTACATTCTTGGTTGTTTATATTTTCTTCACTTGTGTTGCCTGTTTTTCTTTCTTTTCTTTTTTTTAAAGATTTTATTTCTTTTTAGAGAGAGGGGAATGGAGGGAGAAAGAGAGGGAGAGAAACATCAATGTGGGGTTACCTGTCGTGTGCACCCTACTGGGGACAGGGCCCGCAACCCAGGCATGTGCCCTGACTGGGAATTGAACCGGCGACCCTTTGGTTCTTAGACCGGCGCTCAACCCACTGAGCCACACCTGGCTGGTGTATTTATTTATAATCACGGAGCCAACACTGGCTTGGCTTTATTCACTGAAGACGTGTTTTGACCTGCTGTCCTTTCTTAGTCCCACAATCCCATCCAGGACCGCACTGCATTCAGCTGTCCCATCCCCTTAGGCTCCTCGTGGCTGTGACGGTTTCTGACTTTCCTTTTGTGACCTTGGCAGCTGGGGGCGGGGGGGCTGGTCGGGGGTGTTTATTGCAGGGTCTCCCTTTCCTGGAGGTGACTGGGTCTGTGGCTCTCAGGGAGGAGGGTCGCAGAGGCAGGGTGCCACTTCTGTCACGTCACAGCAGGGGCACGTTGTCAGCACGGTTCGAGACTGTGGGTGTTGACCTCGGTCGGCTAGCGTGACAGGTTTAACCTGTCAGGGTTCTTTTTGTCTTGGCGAGGCTCACCTGGAGCCAGTCGTGTATGTCGTAGGTGTTTTGTGTTTTTAGTCTTTTCTTTTCTTTTCTTTTCTTTTCTTTTCTTCTTTTCTTTTCCTTTAGTCGGTTGTGGAACAGGTTTTAGCAAAACCTCCTCAGGCACTACAGCTGGCCCAGCATCACACACAAACCCGGGTTTGCCTCTGATCTGGGGGGCTGGCGGCACGCCCGGCCCACCCATCCTGCCGCTGGTGGGGGGGGGGCGGGGGGGAATGAGGCCGGAAAGGTGGCAGGTGCAAAGGGGCAGCTCAGCCCGACCCGGGCTTCCTAGGGCCGGGGCCCCTTGCCGGAAGCCCCCCCCTCAGTGTGCTCCTCTTGCCCCCGACAGGTGAGCAGATCAAGCGGGTGAAACCGAAGCGCACCACGTCCTTCTTCAGCCGGCAGCTCTCCTCAGGCCACGGGAGCTACACCGTGGTGCGGCCGGCCGAGAGCCTGGAGCAGAGCTGAGGCGGGCGGCGCTGCGGCCGCGGAGGGCACAGGGAGGGGCGGGCCGGGGGTCAAGTCCGGGAGGAAGGCTGCCTTGCAGCCCAGAGGAGCGTCCTCTCTGCCGGGCGGACAGTGCGGGGGCTGGGCTGCGCCTGCCGCTCAGGGATCCCCTATGGCCCCTCTCGCAGCCTGCACTCCGGCCCCGCCGCCATCTCAGGACCATGTGATCAGGCCCCGGCCTCCCCCTTTCGCCCAGGGACACGCCCTGGTGCCCCTCAGGATGGACAGCGCCCCCTGTTCTGTCGCCCACACTGGCAGCCCCCATGGCGGGTGACCGAGGAACAGGGCTTGGGACCCGCCCAGTGTGCGTCCCTGGTGTATTCCCTGGACCTTAGCGACCACATCCCCGCACTCCTCCAGCCCGCATTCCAGCCACGCGGCCAGGCGGGCCGTCGCTGCAGGGATGGGGCAGGGCCTGGGGGGGTGGGGACCCTTGGCAGGAAGAGAAGGAGGGGCCCTCCGGCGCCTCCCCGGCCGGCTGGGGCTGGGGGCGCAGCTCAGCGGGCACCCGGGCCCCTCGCTCAGGCCTCTCTCGCAGGCAGGAGACACTGGCCAGTAGGAAAGCGCCTTTTTTCTAGCTTTTGATGATGTCTCTGAACTTGGAGGTGGCCGTTCTGGGGACCAGCAGGCCCACCGGACCTTCCCTCCGCACTCAGAAAAGCTCTTCGTGGGCTTCCGGTGTCGGTTTTGTTTTCTTCTCATCTGCTTTGGTTCCACGAACCCCGTGAACTCTGGAGCACTCACGAGAACCCCACAACCTTAGAGCTTCCGGCTCCCCATCAGGTGGCGCTGTGCTCTCGTCCTGGCCCGAGCCCGCGGGCCGCCCGTGCTAGGGAAGTCCCACCCGCCAGCCCCTCTGGTCTGGGATCTGGGGAACCGGTGACAGCGCGGGAATGCAGCGCTGGGCATGGCTCCTCTGTGCTGGGAAAGCGGCAGCACCGTGCCGTGCCTCCCCCTGGAGGCCAGGGCCCGCCCTCTGCCTTCCACGACGTCTGGACGCTCCAGATGTTCGGACACGGGCCGCCCTCTGGCAGCAGGGGCTTTGTTATTTGTCATAATAAATAAGTGTCCCAGCCAAGGACATCTTGTCTCTCCTTCGGAGTGACTCACCTACCTGGCTCCCCGCCCGCAGTCCCCTCCGCCCACTCTCTCACTGTTCTGACGCCAAGTGAGTTCTTATCTGCTGGGCCCGCGGGGGCCTGCAGGGTGCGGCTGGCGGGCGTGTGCGCGCACAAATTACTTGTTTGTGCCCTTGTCTTCCTCATCTTTTCTAAGCGTCCAATTGTGCCTTAATCTTCCCTGCCTGTCCCGTGGGACAAAACAGCCTTTTACTGAATGTCCTTTGAATGTCCTCATTCTTTTGTACCATGTGACTTAATAAAATCCGTTTCCAGCAATGTTGGGGTAGTTTACGATATGAAATAAAAGCGTGTGGGGTTTTTTTATTGTTGATTTGAGAGAGGAACATTTTTTTTTTTTGTCGTACTTACGCATTCACTGGTTGGTTCTTACGTGAGCCCTGACGGGAGATCGAACCCTTGACCTTGGCGTATCGGGCACAACACTCTAACCAGTGAGCTGCCCGGTCACGGGAGAGGGTGTGGGTTATAGCCTGCGAGTGGGTCACAGCTACGGTCCGCCTTTTGTCGAGGGTGCAGCGCTCAGGGCTCCCGAACACTCGGCGAAGCCAGAGTGAGGTTGGTTTTCCACCGTTGGCGGTTGGTGAGGGGAGGAAGATCCCAGAGGGGTTTGGGGGTTCGTGGTGGGGACCATGGTAGAAGCTCTGCCAAGGGGCAATGAAACAGGAGCAACAGAACGGTGGCTGGAGCCTTTGTCCCTATCCTGTGACCTAAGCCACTTGCCACCAGGTTCCTCCTCACACCTGGGGGTTGCGGTCCAGGGCGCAGTGCCTCGGGGGCGAGGCCGGAGAGCCCAGGAGGTCTGAGTGACTCGGGAGCCCCCCCAAGGGCGCAATTGGTTTCCCGCAGGGCCGGTGTCAGGCCAACCCTCACAGCGCTGCGAGCCCCACCGGAAGCTGTGTGGCAGTGAGAACCACGGGCTGTGTTCCTGAGGGGTGAGCACCACTTGGGGGTTGGGGATGCCCTGTGTCCAGAAAGCTGGGAGGGAGAACAGAATTACGGGGTTCACCCGAGAGGCCAGAGCCTGCAGATGGCACAGAGCCCCGCCCCCAGTGGGTAGGGGAGCACCAACAGCCTGGAGCCCGCCCTGTACCCAGACCCCTCCGCCTGCAGGGGTTTCCTGGGACAGCTGTAACCAATGACCACAACCTTAGTTGTGGAGCACACATTCGCGGTCTCCAGGTTCTGGAGGTCAGGGGTCGGGGCCGAGCCTCGCTGGGCCAAGGTCTGGAGCGGGGCAAGGCTGCGGCTCCTGCTCTGGGGGAGAATCTGTGCACTTTTCCAGCTGCTAGAGGCCGCCGGCGACCCTTGGCTCGTGGCCCTTCCTCCGTCTTCAAAGCCAGCCAGGATGAGGGGGTCCCCACGGCACAAGCTGTGACCCCTCCTCACATCTCTCTCTGATGCTCCTCCCCTTTCCCTCCCGTGTGTAGGGACCCTTGTGATCATGACACTGGGCCAAGGTGGACGATCCAGGCAATCTTCCTGTTGTTAGCGGAGGGGCTGCTTTATTTTTTTAATCACTTTTTATTTTTCAATTACAATTGACATGCAGTATAGTAGTTTCAGGTGCACGCGCCTGTGATTAGGCATGACATAACTCACTAATGAGCGTCTGATCACTCTCACGCCCATCTGACCCCACACAGTCACTAGAACATTGCTGACTGCGTTCCCTACGCTGCGCCTCCCTGCCCCGCCGTTCTGGTCCCGCCAGTGTGTACGTCTTGATCCCCTCACTTTGTCAACATGAAACACATTCAAACCTGCAGAGAAGTTTTGGGAGTTTATTTGAGCCAAACTGATGACAGTTTGCTGGGAAGAAAACCTCAACAGATGGAGGAGACACTCGGGGACGTGGCCATTCTGCACCTTATTTTATACGGGACAATCACACAAAATCCACTGGCGACAGATCAGGGAGGCAGGGAGAAAGCAAAGGGGGAACCTCTGGGATTGGATGAAAAGTACAGTGATAGACACACACTTCTGCACAGGTGGGTACAGGATGGTTAACAGTCAACAGTTAACCTGATAACTAGCAATGAGGGGATCTGTGGGAAGTGCTGGTCCTTTGAGTGGTCCAGAAAAAGGAAATGACTTTGACATTCTGAAGGTAAGTTATGTGGGTGCAAAAAGACAGCAGACAGGCTTAAGGTAGAGATTGACGTTTGTCAGGGAAGATTTTAGCCTAGAACAAGACTACCACCTGCCATGAACTGCTTTAGTGAGTAAGTTTACATCTCAGACCATTTGTGGTTGGTTAGTTCAGGTCTCGTGAGTTTGTAAGGCTGCCTCCAGGGCCTCCCCTAAGTCCGTCAGGTTTTGTGAGGGGACCCTTTTCATCCAAAGCCTTTTCCCCCAGCCCCCAACCCTCTTCCCCTCTGGCAACACTGTTTCTGTCCTGCCTGATCATTTGATTTTTTAGATTCAGTTGTTGATATGTACTTATTGACATTTTATTGTTCATATTTTTAAAAGATTTTATTTTTAGACAGGGGAAGGGAGGGAGAAAGAGAGGGAGAGAAGCATTATTGTGTGAGAGAGAAACAGTTGCCTCTCGCATGCTCCCAACTGGGGACCTGGCCCACAACCCAGGTGTGTGCCCTGACTGAGAATCAAACCGGTGACCTTTCCGTTTGCAGGCCGGTGCTCAGTCCATTGAGCCACACCAGCCAGGGCCCAAATTGCTGATTTAATTCTTGGCTTCATCTACTCTACTGTTGATTCCCTGTAAATTATTCTTTTTTGAAAATTTATTTATTTTATTGTGTTTTTTTTTCCGTTACCATTTAGTCCCCTTACCGCCTCCCATTCTTCATTTCAGCTCCTTTTGTGTGCTGTTGAGGTCCTCACTGAGCTCACTGAGCACCCTTACAACCAGTCTTTTAACCTCTGCATCTAGGACATTGCTCGTCTCTCTTTTGTTTAGTTCTTCCTCTGGAGTTTTCTTCTGGTCTCTCGTCTGGGACATGTTTCTTCGTCTTCTCGCTCTGCCAGCCCCCGTGTCTGTTCCCGTGTACCAGGTAAGCCGCCGCGTCTCCCAGGCTTGGCAGAGTGGCTGCCTTGGCAGGGGTTCCGTAGCACCCAGGGGCACAGCCTCCCAGCCCACCCTTCCTCTCTCTCAAATCAATCAATCAATCAATCAATAAAAAGCTTTGTGATATAATCTGAGTCTTAGTTCTGAATTCTTCCCTTAGCCAGAGCTCGGGAACAGAGGTGCCATTTCGTTCCAGCTGCTAACACCTCACCTGTCAGACTGGACAACTGGACAGCTGTCCTCTGGGAGCAGAACAGACTGGTCCCCCTGAGACCCTGTTCACTTTTTGCTCTCCTCCCCCCAGCTGTGTAGCATTAGGCGAGTTATTTCCTGTTCTCTGAACCGGGGGGGGGGCATAGCGCCTGCTCCTTCAGGTTCCTGGGGAGGAGTGATGCCTGTCTGACCTCCCCGCACGCCCGGGGCGGAACGCGTGTGTCGCACACCTCTGCAGACGATGGCGCCTGTCTGCAGCGGCGGGGCGGTGCTCGGCAAGGGCTCCTGACTGCGGAATCAAGAGCCCTCTGAGTCCCAGTTTCCTCATCTGTGAAGTGGGGACAACCCCCCCCCCAACCTCACGATGCTGTAGGTAACACTGAGTGGCGGATGTGAAGCACCTGTGGCCCGCAGTGGCTGCATCTGTATGTGGTTGTGTCTGGTTCATTCATTCACTCATCCTGTGTGACCCACCGCGTTCCAGAGGTCATGCCCCCTTTGTTCCCACCTGCATTAGTTCCCTGGGGTTGCCTTAACACACTCCTACAAATGGGGAGGGGACCCCCAAATGGGGGCATAGGAGTCAGTACTCAAAGCAACAGAAATGCATCGTCTCATAGTTCCGGAGGCCGGATTCCACCACCAAGGTGTGGCCGGCGCCAAGCTCTCTCTGCCCCTGTAAGGGCCCCTCCCGCCACCCCCAGCTTCTCCTGTTTTGCTGGCAGTCTGTGGCGCTCCTCGGCCTGCAGCTGCACAAGCCCAGTCCCTGCCTTCGTCGTCACGTGGCTTCTCCCCGTGTGTCTGTCCTTACGTGGCCGTTCTCGCACAAAGACCCCAGTCAGACTGGGTTGGGGGCCCACCCTACCCCACGTCCTCCAAACCACCTATACCTGCGGTGATCCCAGTTTTCGCTGAGATCAGATGCTGAGGTACTGAGTGAGGGTCAGGGCTTCACTGGGGGGACAGAATTCAACGAGTCAACCCATAGTACCACCCTCATAGTTCATCGTCTCGGTCTTCCTTGGGGCTTTGTAGATGCATCAAGGTGGTTCTAAAATGCCAGCTGCCCTTGGGTTTTGGGGAAAAGCAGGAGTGGTTACCCCCACCAGCCTGGCCCGCATGGTCTGGCCTAGCCCACCAGCACCCAGCTGTGCAGGCCCCCGGAGCTGAGGAGACCCCCAGGAGAAGTCTACCCCTAGGAGTCAGTGCGGTGGGATGGGATCTTTGCACACGCCCCCCAAGCTCATCAGGTACCAGAGCCCACTGAGCAATCAACACGGGTAACCCCATTGTCCCCACGGAGGCTAGGGCGTTTCTGGGTCAGTCAGTTCTCCACCACTCGCAGCATCGGGGAGCATCCTGGCCCTTCGGCCCTGTCCAGCTCAGCCCCACATTTGAGAGAAGGCAGGCAGATTATCCAGCCTCATCTGGAACGGGTGGCAGGGCACACCCTGGCCAGGACTTCGGTTTTAAACAGCACGTCTGGTGCCCCCAATTCAGCTGCTTTTTGTGCTCGGGCTTGGCTGCAGAATGTAAGGGAGAAGAGCAGGGGGGAAGTCTGCCAAGGTCCCTGCCCGCTGGTTGTTGGTCAGGCTTCGGCCAGCAGGGGGCAGCTGAGCCCACCCTTTCCTCCTCCAGTTCGCGGCAAATGCTGCAAACCTGCGGCAAACCGGCACCGCCACCCGGATCTACGCAGCTGGAAAATCCCGGGGCTTGGGTCTGGCGCTGCTCGCCCACACCCTCGCTGAGCGGGCGTCCTGGGTCCTGACCACCGCCACCTTCCCCTGGGCCACGTTGGAGGATTCCTGGATCTCCGAGAGTACCAGATGCGGGGGGTCCCCCTAGGTTCCTCATTTGGTGATGGACCCACGTTCTCCAAAGATCACCATCCATGCCCTGAAAGCGGGTTCTGCTTTGGAATTTTTTTAAAAAAATTTTCTGGTGAAATGACAACTGAGTCATAATGTTTAAAACTAGGGTTATTTGGGGGAATCCAGGAGGCGGGTGGACACACCCTGGGACTACTCATCTCCCTCCT